AACAGTGCCTCACAGGCTATTAGTATTGACCAATAAATATTCACTAAAATTAAATGCAGCAATTATGGTTTGGTAATAACCAACAGGTCAGGGTGTTTAGAAGGAGGTGATGTGAATTCTTCAAGCAACACAGTCACATTTAGATACAGTCCCATTTTGGGGTTCTAGGGGCTATGGGTCATCTGGTTCATCCTCTTCAGACAGTAGGACACAGAAGAATGGTCACGTCTAAAGGTGGCAACCTCACCTTTGGCTCTGGATCTAACAAGGGCAGACAAGTTCAAACACAATAACAGTATATCACCTAAGGGTACACAACGTGCTTTCCTGTGCTCTGGGCAGTTCAGCGTTACCACAATTCTCAATGTAAACATTACAGAAAGGACATTAAGGTTTTGTCATAGCCATATAAGTAATACTCACTAAAATGCATTCTGCACGTCTGTCTTATTTAAAAGTTTCTTACTTCCTTGTTTACACTTTCAGCTACAGCAAAAAGTCACTATTAAAATCTGCTGTGTACAATGAAGCAATTGCAAAATACAAAAATTCATCCTTGCTATTATTCCTACCTCTCTGATCTGCCAATCTATACACTCAGCTAATCTTTTCCCTTCTCCAGCCAGGGGTGGTGGGAAAGGTGGGAGGTATATAAAATGAACACATTCACATTGTAACTTGGATCTCTGACATACCAGTAGCCTTAGAGCTGAGATATTACTGGAAGTGTATGAAAGGGTTACATTTAAAGAGATCACAGAGGGAAACATAGCTGTGCTTCCCAAGACAAAAGAACTGATCCGTCAACAAAGGACCCAGAGAAAAGAGCCCTATAAATCACAGGACTGCCGTAGGCTGGGTCTTCCTTTCAATGGACTTTTTTTTTTTCAGAGTTTGGCTGTTTACTGGTAGGACAGTTTAGGAAAAATGGTTGTGGAATAATAATAAAATTTCAAATGATACCAGATTTCATAACCTAGTAAAAGATTACTAGTGACTAGCTCTTTCGTATAGAAAAAGATGCATCACCAACATTACCTATAATTCCTCCAACATCGTACCAAATGGACAGCTTGTCAGCTTCAGCTTCCTTCCATCCAAAGTTGTTACTCAGATAAAAGGGCAACCAGAAGAAGAAGGAGTAATTCACCAACTTCAAGCAGGCATAGGCCAGCGAATACTACAAGAAAAGCATTCAACCCTCAAAAAGGAACAAATAGCACAGCATGACCACAGTTTTTAATGTAATTAAAAAGCGAAATAAAAGAGAGGAGTTTGGCGTGAACAGTACCTGACTGTAAAATCACACATTTCTACAAATCCCCCTTTGCCTGACTTTACCCAGTCCCCCTCTTCTCTTTATCCCCATTAGCTTCTAGAAAGGCATGTACAGCACGCGTTTGGAATAAAAAAGACATACGACTATTTGTTAATTGTCCCCAGTTTCCTCTCCTTTCAGTTCTCTGGTAGAAGCAAACCAGTGTTTTGAACCTATAAGGCAGGGCACATTCTCATTATTTCTTTATTTAGACAAAGATATAAGGTATTCATGCCACTAAGCAGCATTAAACATAAGCAAATAAACCTAGTAATCATCACAGCTTTTATTGCAAATAGCCAAACTTTTTGTTGTTCTACTTCCTGCAAAGTTAATATTATAAACCATGGAGAGCAATGGGGCTAAACCATAGTTTCAAGGTCTAAGAAAAGCATCAACATTAAAATTACTTTTGCTTTATAGTTTCCAACAGCTTTATGTTCCCACATCCAGTGGAAAAGCAAAGAATACCTTTGGTGAGTCAAAAATGAAAGAACATGATCATCATGGGCCTTGTGGCTCTACTTTGAGGAATAAAAGTTGCAGCCGCCTTAAGATGGCAGTGGGGCTAAGACTCCTATATTCAACACGTTATTACCAGGAAATGCTGACATTTAGCATCAAAGGAAGAAGGGGGAGGAACAGAGAGACTGACTTCAAAGAGGGTCTAGCTAGTATATTCCTCCCCGGAGCTGCCAGCGATCCCCTAGGTATCACTTGTTTTAACACAGTTTCCCTGGCAAGGCAACAGCCGCTTCCTGGAGAGCCAGGTTCCCATCACAAATGCATTCTGTCCAGACAGCCAGCTACAAAGACAAAGGAATTAAGTTAACTAGATTTCCTTTACATCCCTGCCCACGTCAGGGAACAATAGCTTGTAAAATACAAAGGAATTGCAAAAGAGTCCCATAGTCACAACAAATTTAAGTTCTGTCTCAGAAATTAAACTATTACCAGCAGAATATTTTAATAACTAGTTAAAAAATACAAGTTATTAGCATACAAACAGGCCGAAAGGAACTTGCATTTCCCTTGCAGTATACATCACCTTTTGGTTAAAGAATTGTGAGAACTTACACTTATATTTTAACTTGTACTTAACTATCTGTTTGCAAACGTCAGTTCTCTTAGCTTGGGGGCACAGGTAGAAGGGAACTGATGAGTGTAAGCATGAAATGTGAATCTAGCTGGGGGTTATATTCATAAAGCACCATTAAACAATGAAATAAACAAAAACAGGTGCTTATGCACAATACAATAACCCAAGATTACAGAGCCCAGGGAAGACTGGCACACTTTCTATTCCACAGGAGGGGGAACTGAGACACAAGGATGGCTGAGTGACTTACCCCAGGCCTCACAGAGAGTTAGTGGGTAAGCTGGAACATAACCTAGGCCTCTTAAGTTCCACTCCCGTGCTAGAGCGCCCGAATCATCAAGACAGAAAAACTGCAGCAGAACGGATTTAGTTTAGACGTTAGAGAGTTCTCCTGACTGTGAAGGTTGTGGAAACACTGGAATGCATTACCAAGAAATACTGCGGAGTATTCTGCCCTGGATATTTTAACAATAGGGCAAACTATTTTTTTTTCCTGGAATGATTAGAATACAGGCAAACAAGACAGACTTAACGAACCATTCAAAACCCTACTTGGTCTATATAAATTCTATAATATTTCAACAGGCCAAAATATACACGTAAAAATATCAATTTTGCCTTCTTATTCACATGTTGGATCAGGGTCGGCAAACTAGGGCTCATGGGCCAAAGCTGGCCGTGCCCATTTGTTTCTCATTGTCCATATTGTTTCTTTTGCTCTAGGATTGAGTAGTTGTGGCAGAGACTGCACAGTCCCTGCAAAGCTGAAAATATTTCCTATCTGGTTCTTCCCAGGAAAGAGCCCCTTTGCCAACCCCTGCATTAGACAATCAGATAAAATTTCAAGTGGTGCCAATATAGAACCAAGCTGAGGGGCACTATACAATATTCCACAGAGAAGCTAAATAAAGACGCTTTCTCCCAGGAAGAGCTCACACCCAGGCTGTGACACCTCACTGGCCTTGGTAAGGAGCCCTCACCGGTATAACTCCAGGAAGGCAACAAGCCTGATAAAAGCTTATTGCCTTGACTTCAGAAGTTGTACTGCCTTCTTGGATTGAATAATTAGGCTCATATTCATCTTCATTTTCAGCACCATTAATTAACGGCCTGTGCGCATCTTCTTCAAAATTTTCCTTTGCCTCAATAGCTGGGAGACCTAAAACAACAACGACAGCCACCATTTACAGAGTGCCTTCTGGGTGCCCGGCACTGGGCTAAGTGCCTGGTATACATCATTACATACAGGGTTGATATTATTTTATTTCCATTTTACAGAAGAAGCAACTAAACTTCAGAGATTAAGGTCAACTAAGGTAAATTAAGGTCACACAGCTAATGAGCAACAAACTCAGGACTCGAATTCTACTTTATCTGGCTTCGAAGCTATGTTTTTTCAACTACATCACACTCTCTCTCTTATATACAAAAAAATGTTAATTACATACTATTAAACTGACATGTCTGTGTCATAATACTCAAAAGAGAAAAAATCATACATCTCTTTGCTTCTGTGGTTTCACTCGTACATATTCTGCATCTAACCGTAGATAAGTATCAAACTAAACTACTTTAATGAAGGAAAAGAAATGTCTTAAGAAGTGAAATTAGAAATACATCCTTGCTAATTTCTAGCCAGTGTCTCAATCATAAAACTCATTTTCCTTGAGTCTATAGAAGGCGAGCCTCACTGCCCTCAAACATCTGCAGCTGTGTCAGGCTCGGCCACAGTGTCTCCAAGACACAAGCAGCTATACGGCTCCTCTAATTCACTGAAAGGAGCTCACAGTTCTCCTGGGCAAAAAGAGACTGGCTATCCTGGCCTCAGATTTCTCTGAACAGAAGAGACAGCTTCTTCTCACCAATTTCCTCTGGTGACACCAGGAGCCCAAAGAAGATGATGATCCCACCAGCAAACTGCACAGCCGCCGTCACCAGAAAGGCATACTGGAGGAGAGAGGAGAGAGGCGCTTCTTACACATCCGGGACATTCATTAGGGGCACACGAGGGGAGGAGGTGGGTGGGAAGGACAGGGAGACTGGGAAGGAAGTGAGTGCTGAGTCTGTACCAGGTACTGAACTGGGTTTCATTTGTGTTTTCTCCTTAGTTTTCCCAGTGACTCTGTGAGGCTCAGAAAGGATCATTAAGGTTCCCTGGAAACTGAGCAGCACTATGACGATAGGTATTTCCTTATATCCTGTGAAATCAGGATCATGTCCCAAAATCTCATTCTCTGCACCACACCCACGGGAGACAGTATCTGCCCTTGAAGACACCCTATCCAGGTAGGGAGATTAGACAATATACAAAACAATAACATAAGGCAGCAAGAAGCTGAATAAATGAGAAGGCCCAGTCCTAATAAGAAACACATACAGGAATCGAGAAGGAGGAAACAGGTAAAGAGGCTGAAACAGCCAGACATTTTAAGGAGGAGCTGAAAAAGTAATTGACCACCTTTCCCGTGGGCAGCTGAAGCGAAAGCACAGGCGGGATGAGACAGAAAGGACGTTGAAGCAGACTTCTGCTGTGGGTAACAGGGACTAAAACTGATTTGGAGAGGTGATGATCGAGATTAGACTCCCAAAAGCCAGGCTGCATAGCTGAATTTTATTTGACAGAGAATGGAGCCTGATGTGGATAGACAGTCTAAATGTTTGAACAAGTCAGTGACAAAATTAAAGTAGTCTTTCCAGAAGCCAATCTGGGAGCAGCACATAGGGTGAACTGAAATTCTCGTCTGAACAATTAGCTTAGTACAATCCAGGTATGAAGCTAAGAAGCCTAGAATAAAGGTGACCATGAAGGTAGGAAGGACTTCCCGTTGACCGTAACTAGACCAAAATTCTTCACAGACCAAACCTTTGGTGAGCGGTTTAAAAATTTATCTACTTTTTAAATGAGCAACTTACTTACTTTTAATTATTTAGGTTTCTGAACAGGCAATACAGTCACCTGATTCGCATGAAAAAGTAGAAGACATAAAAACTCTCCCTCCCACTGTTTCTCCCATCCACTCAATCCTCATTTTCCCACACACAACCATTGTTACTTAATTTTTACTTCCCAGAGATTGTTTTAGAAACACCCAAGCCAATATAAATATATACTCTTTAATTCTTCCTCCATTTTACACAAATGGCATCACAATACAGTTTTGCCTTCTTCACTTAACATACCATTGAAATCTTTCCCTATCAGTACCTGGTGCGCTTCCTAATTGCATTTCACACTGCACAGCATTCTGCTGAATAGGTGATTCAGAGTTGAACTATTTCCCTATTCGCTGACATTGTTATCAATCTTTTACTATCATAAAAAATGCTCATAAATAACCTTGTAGGTGTATCAGTTTGTACAAGTTGAAGTACATTCACCTGTGGGATTAATTCCTGGTGGTTGAACTGCTCGGTCACAGCAGCTGTAATTTTGATAGACAGTCCCATACTGACCCCTCGAAGGGTTATTTACTCTGGCAAACCACAATGCCTGTCTCTTCACGTCCTCATAAACACATGTGACCAAACTTTTGGATTCTTACCAATCTAATAAGTGTACAGCGTAGTTTCTTTCTTTCTTTCTCTCTTTCTCTCTCTCTCTGTCCTTTTCTTCCTTTCTTTTACAATGTAGTTTTACTTTGCGTTTCTCCACCAACATGGAAGCTCTATACAGGGCAGAGATTTTTGTCCTTTGGCCAGTGCTCTATTCTCTACTGCCTAGAGGCACTTAGAGGAGCTTGATAAATATTTATTGAATGAAAGAATAAGTTACAAGTGAAGTGTAATATCTCATACATTTACAAGCCATTTCTATTTCCTTTTCATAAACTAAGAGTTCAAATCTGTTACCCTTCTTTCTGTGTGTTGGTGGTCTTTTTCTAATCAATTTGCAGGTGCTCTTTATGTATTAGGGAGATTAGCTCTTTATTTGTAACAAGTTTCAAATACTTTTTCCCAATTGATTATATGTCTTTAGACTTGGGTGTTTTCCCACACATAATATTTTTATGTGTTTGAATTTATCAAAAGTTTGTCCACTTTTAATACAAGCTTTGCCCCACCCAGACACAACTCTAGATAGTTTTAAATGGACACAGTATTATTGCCTAAAAAACAAAATATACATATCTCAAGAAAAACCTAGGAAGAAATACCTACCTCATAACCATACTGCAGAACAGAAGAAGCGAGGCACGCTCCCAAAATATTGCCCACTGAAGCACAGGCACTCCAGAGACCAAAAACAACTCCTCGTCTAAGATGGGAACAGTAGAAAATAGAACACAATAGAATCAGAAGGGATTCTGTGTGCAGTTCAAATATGAAATGGCCAAAACAGTGAAGGTTCACATTACAAAGAATCGATGTTATTAAGTACACCCAAACGACAAAACATCAGGTCTCTTCTAACTCTAAGATTTTAGTAAAGTTCAATTTGGGGCTCACTGAAAGACACTGGTAAGAGAATTAAAAAAGATAAGCCACAGATTGGGAGAAAATATTTGCATATCACTTATCTGATAAAAGACTTGTATCTAGAATATAAAGAACTCTCAAAACTCAATAATAGGGCCGGCCCCGTGGCTTAGTGGTTAAGTGCGCGTGCTCCGCTGCTGGCGGCCGGAGTTCGGATCCCGGGCGCGCACTGACGCACTGCTTCTCCGGCCATGCTGAGGCCGCGTCCCACATACAGCAACTGGAAGGATGTGCAGCTATGACATACGACTATCTACTGGGGCTTTGGGGGGAAAATAAATAAATAAATAAAATCTTTAAAAAAAAAAAAACAACAACTCAATAATATGAAAAACAGACAATGCAATAAAATGTTAAAGAGTATGAATCTACAATCATCTCAAATAAAAAGTTTTTGAGAGCCAGCCCTGATGGCCTAGTGGTTAAAGTTCAGCACATTCTGCCTCAGCAGCCCAGGTTCAGTTCCCAGGCGCGGAACCACACCACTTGTCTGTCAGTTGCCGTGCTGTGGTGGCGGCTCAGGTAGAAGAACTAGGACTTACAAGTAGAATATACAACCATGTACTGGGGCGTTGGGAAGGGAAAAAAAAGAGAGAGGGGGGAAGACTGGCAACAGATGTTAGTTCAGGGTGAAGCTTTCCTAGCAAAAAAAAAAAAAGTTTTTGAAAAGGGGGCAAAAGATTTTAATAGATACTTCACACACACAAAAATATGATGCAAATAGCACATGTAAAGGTGCTCAACATCATCAGACATTAGGGGACTGCAAATTACAACCACAATGAGGTATCACACACCTACTAGAATAGCTAAAATCAAAAAAGACCGAGCACACCAAGTGTTGGCAAGGATATACAGCAACTAGAACTCTGACACTCTGCTGGTGGGAACGTAAAATGGTACAACCACTTCGGAAGAGATCGCCAGTTTCTTAAAAAGATAAACACACACCTACCATATGACCCAGCCATTCTACTCCAAGGTATTTATCCTAGAGAAATGAAAGCTTAGGTCCATACAAGGATTTGTACACAAATGTTCACAGTAGCTTTACTTGTAATAGCCAAAAACTGAAAACAACCCAAATTTTCATCAACAGGTGAACAGATAAATGTGGTACAATGGATTACTACTCAGCTATAAAAAGGAATGAACTATCAATACACACAACATGAATGAACCTCAAAATAATTATGCTGAATGAAAGACAGAAAAGAAAGAGTACATACTGTATGATTCCATTTATATAAAATCTTAGAAAATTCAAATTAATCTGAAGTGACAGAAAGCAGATCAATACTTGCCTGGGATGGCAGTGGGAGGGAGGGAGGTGATTCTGGGAAGGGCGGGAGGAATTACCAAGGGGCATGAGGAAACTTTTAGGGGGATGGATATGTTCATTATCTTAATTGTGATGATGGTTTAAGAACAAAGAGTTAAGAAAAGTTACTTTTTTTAATGTTCAAATTTGTATTTTATTCTACTGATACATATTAATAACACACTGTGTTAGGTCTGGAATTTTTAGCTCTTTAAACATTTTTACACCTCCTTAAGACAGAAGGAATCTTAGAAATGAACAGGGAGACAACACTGTACGGTGAAAAACAAAGTCTGTCCCAAAGTCCTAGCTCTGCCACCTCCAGCTGTGTGATCTCAAGCAAGTCCCAGCTGAGGCCGAGGGTTCTCAATCGGAAAAGGCTACGCTCCGCAGAGGACTGAGTGCAGTGATGTACACGACAGGGTCAGTGCTGCACCAGCACATGCACCAGTATTCCCCAGCCTAAATCTGTTGTAAAAATCTATGACCCTGACAACCAGGAGAAGGCACACGACTCATCGAAGGTACCACCTTTTAGGGCAATGCCCTCAATAGATCACTTAATTCCCCTGGGCCCCAACTTTTTTCACCTGGAAAACAAATGATTTGAAATAGTTAATCTCTGTGCTCCTCCCCTGTGCTAAAATGTCCCAATCCTCTAAAATATCTAAACCTATCAAGAGAGTCCTGGAGGGAAGAGTTGGAAGGTCAGGCTCTGATTAACACTGGCTGACCAAAGACATGATTTTAGAAGAAACTGGCTGAGAATAACTGTGATTTTAAGTTGTCATAGTTTTATTGGTACTTTGTGATTTATTCTTGTTTCACAGGAAAAGTCACCGTGTCTCAAGCAGTGATTCATCAGTGTCACTTACTAGTGTTACTCGTTTAAGAACAAACTGCCTTACTTTCAGAAAGAAACTGGAATGGCTTTCTTGAATTTTTTTTGTGTGACTGATCCACAAAAATAACCAAGTGGTCAGCCTGCCCAGTCACTGCTATCAAATACTCAGTGTCATTCAATTTATAAAAGTTCAGATAAGAATTATCTCAAAACGATGTATGTCCAAGTTATTATCTTTGAGTGATAGCATTCCAGGTGGTTTTGCCTTTATTTCTCTTTGTTCATTTATATTATCTGGTTTGTCTACAATAAACAAGTAGCCTTTGTATATAATCTTCAAAAATCATACATGGAAAAAAATTACCTTAAAAATCTTAATAAAAATAAACAGCACACGAGCAGACAGCATCACCTACTCCAAAAAGCCTCATAGGGGAACAAGTGTCTCTTAAAATCAACTCTGTTAAACCAGTGATGCTAGAGTTAGAGTGAAAGAGAACTCACTAGCACACTGAAATATAATCAGAGCATTCTCACTAAGTGGTGCTTATTCCAGCCACAAGACACTTGATAGCTGAACTTTCACAACGTTACAGATCATCAGCCAGCAAGCATCATTACCCCCATTAGGAAACTGGGGAAGCTGGAAAACTGGGAGCAGTGGGACACAGCATGCGCTCATTACCACAGTGGGTGGATAATGACTGATGCATATATACTGGTCCCTACATAAAAGAGTAAACTGAAAAGATAGAGCCATCGGTGTCATAAATGAGTATCTCACAACACATAAATATTTATCTAGGAAAAATGACAGGAATACAAATTAATAATATTCCTGACATCAGAGTATCACAAACAACGATAAACAACCAAGCCCCGTCTTTGGGCATCTCAACTTATTTTCCACTCTGTAAATTAACTATGACTCTTCTTCCAGGCGGCCTAGAAGACACTTCAGCAGGTGCCCATCCTCACGCCTTGGCCCACTCCACACATAAACTCAAATACAATCTAATAACCACTTGAAGGTTTAGGGGGAAAATGTCCAATCTAACTAAGCCCCAAAGTTTGGCATTCTTCATCTGCATCTTATTAGAGCCTTTGTTATGTGACCTTAGGCAAGTCCCATCGATAACTTTTGGCCTCAGTGTCCTTATCCTTAATGTAAGAAGCTTAAACTAGATCATTGAGTCTGGGAAGGCAAAACCCACAGGAAGATAATGATGGGATGGCATGTGAGATATTTACGTTCTAGAAAGGGAAGATTAAAAAAAAAATTGAGACATATTGTCTTAGCCACACTCGAAACCTGACATGGCCAGGAGAGGGTGACGAAAGTGTCTGAAGGGGCTAGGTCATCTGTAAGGTCATCTCTAAGGTCCGCACCATTTCCAGTACACTTTGACGTGGAACCTTCTCTCCCTGAACTATTCTAACTTTCTAAACTAGACGGAAGATGTGGGTAGTGTTGAAGGGACTGAGTTAATTAACTATGACAAATCTGAATAATCCGAAAACTACTTAGAGAAATTAAAGAGGAAGGAAGTGACATACCCAGCTTTCCCAAACCAGTTGCCCATAACAGCAACCACACAGGGCCAACCGGTAGACTGCAGCAGGCCATTCACAATCCACAGACAGCAGTACAGCCCCTTGTTGTAGAAACGCAGCCATTCCGTGACGGTGCCAAAGACAAACACCTTAGAGAAGAAGAACAAAGGGACATGTAACATCCACACGGACATGTTTAGTACACCTGACTGCCGACCACGCTTACGCGTCTGCGTGAAGAGACTACACGGAGGACACGTTCAAATGTCTAGGCGCTAAGACGTGTGTGGCCAACTCTTCAGAAGCTCCTGCTTGGAGCAGCACTGAGACAATCACCAAACCGCTACCAACCAGAGAGGCAGGGATGTCAGACAACACGAAACTTATGAACGATCACCCCTCCAACCTGCATCTTCAGCTCTAAAAAGTTAACTCCTCATTTTACATCTATTTCCATTTCCTCTTCCTATGGCCCGTGTTTGTGGGGACTGAGTTCCCATATGGAAATTCAGGCAGGACAGGGCCAGGCACACCATGGGGAATGGGAAGCGCCAGCTATTATTATTAGTGCAGCTCTCAGGGGAGCAGTGTAACCTGTGGTCTGCTCAGTCTTTTGGTAGCATTCATCAAGCGACTGCTTTTTTTTCTAGGCATCTTGCTTGAGTGGACACTTTATTTTGGGAATATTTTGCATGGGTTAAAAAATGGTACGTATAATCCTGTATGATTTCACTTATATGACATTCTGGAATAAGCAAAACTATAAGGAACGGAAAATGGCCAGTGCTCACCAGAGGCCGGGGGAGGAGCGAGGGGTGGTAGTTACACAACTACACTCGTTTGTCAAAACTATACACCAAAAAGGGTGAGTTTACATACATACGTCAATTTTTCAAAAAATGTAAAAAAACAAAACAAGTACGTATACAGGTTTTAAAATAATATGTTTATATGTGTGGGTGAGCAGCTTACGAATAAATAAAGTGCTTCAATCTCTCAAATGGCAGACCCTGAGAAACAATAATAAAATAGAGTCTAACTAAAACCCATGTTTTCATTCCATCAACAAAAATTCCTCACTAGAAGCTGGTAAGCAAAAAAGAGATGACTCGAATATGGGTCTTGCCCTCTGCAGCACTTAATTAGCCAGGCGTTGTTCCAAACGCCCTACACATCATAACGCATAGAGCCCTCAGCACAACCCCGGGAGGAGGTGCTCAGATGAGGACGCTGAAGCACAGAGAAAGCATAGCTGGGAAATCGCAGAAGAGGGCATGAAACCCAGGCAGCCCAGGGCTTGGGAAGTCTGTGATCTTAACCACGATATGACAGACTCCTCGGGAAAGCAAGATGGATGCAGAAAGAAGTAGGCCACGGAACAGACAATATAAGTGCCTTCAAAGAAATACAGGCACGGGAGCTCAGAAGAGGGAAGGATTACTCCAGGAGTGGGGTCAGTCAAGGAAGGCATATGAATGAATGGTCATTTGGCCAATGACTTGAAGAAGATTTGAGCTGAGTTGAGAAGAGTTGAGTCAAACTACGGAGAGCTGCAAAGAGGGCCATCCAAGGCAGGAGAAGAGCAGGAACAAAAGTAGTGAGGGAGAAAGGAGCAGGGAATGTGAGGGCTGTGGAAAATAGTTTAGTTTGGCCAGAGCACAGTGAGGAAGCACCATGATGAACACGATTGTAGACGGGCTAGGACAGGTCCCAGAGAGCACTGAATGCCACGCTATTCGTGCTTAGACTTTGCTGGTGACTGGGGGTCAAGAAGGCGCCTGATCCGAACCCTACTTTAAAAACACTCTCCTAAATGAAAAGGCACACGAGGGATTAGAAAACTGAAGTTTAATTTTACTATTCTATTCTACATACAGAAGTAGGAGGTTACTTGGATTCTAAAATACCTGACGAAAATAATAATAATAAAAATAACTTTCCAACTTACCACTAACGCAGAAGAGCACATGCCAAAAGACAGAACCCATCGCAAATTAAGCCGATCCCCAACGATACCACTGATGAAAAGGCCCTAAAAATAAAGCACTTTATTTTACAATTCTGAACAACAACACAGCCTGAAAAAAATAAGAGGCACTGCAAAACAAATGGACAAACAAAACACTGGGATTACTTAAATCTCATGCCTAGACCAGCTGTCTATGTCAGTTTCACAAAAGTTTCATGAAATGACAATGGGCTTCTGCCCACTATACTGTAAACATCTCATGCACCAAGACTGGTGATTCAGTATAAACTTCAGTTCCACTTGATCCCCTAACTGCCCAGAAGGAGATTGAAAAAAGAAAACAAGAATAATTCTAATAAAACAAGCACACAAATATATTTCATTTTCTAGAACAGATTAACTCCTAAACATCAGTTATCTGCTTTTCCCAAAGGGATTCCTCTCAATCATCTGCATTCCGCATTAAGAGGTGCTACATGGCCTACAGAACAGAAGCTTCTGGGGCACACACACTGCCTGTTTAATCTGACCCTGGGGTTTCACGACATCACGAGGCAGGGAGAGGAGGGAGGCAGAGACAATAATTAGTTGAAGACAGGCACAAATGCCCTGCCTTCTGCTCCCCTCCCACTGAGTGGCAGGAATTCAAATACTGAGGTCATGGCAGCAAGGCAGACTAAAGAGCTAAGGACAACACACTCTAGGTTTCTTCCATAAATATGTAAAATGAATAAATGTCTTAAACTAAAAAAAACTAAATTCAGACACAAGTGTTTCTAATAAATTGACTATATCTATATTAGAGAAAATTCAGATGATACATGTCATACTAAACATTAGTCTCCCATTATCGTCAAGCTTTACTACCTCAATACAGACACCTGTAAACATTAGATTCTATGTTCTACAGCTGCCACTCACATGGTCTCATGCTATACATAATAAAGGGAGTGGAGAAAATCTCTTAATTATGTTTCGATTAGGGAATCAATCTATTCTGCGTTGCTCCAAATGCCTGCACAATGCCTGCAAGTTACAGAAGGAAATGAAGCTCAATATAAAGAAGAATGATGATCATTTTTCACAGCATTTATCTTTTATGTCCTAAACCTATTTAATTCTATAGATAGGTATTATCATCTCAACTCTATAGATGAGGAAACTAAATATCAAAAAAGGTTAAATTCCATTTTGAAACCAAGTGGAACACAGCTAGTTGACGGTAGTAGAGCTGGTCTTTCCACTAGACTACACTGCTTCTTAAAATTCTCCATAAAAGGCTCAAAGAGAAGCATCGCTGGGAGTGTTCCAGCCGAAGCTGACTGACTGTATATAGGGATTGTGTACAGAAACTGTCCAGGCTGAGGAGCTAGGCTAAATCATCTACGGTCTGCTCCAATTGTTTCTATAAGTTTCCTCTTTGAAGAAAAGATATTCTAATAACTACCCAGATAAACATTTAGAGATTATTTTGAGACTTTCACCCAGTATTTCACATCACCTGGACATTCATAATTAAAGGCTTTTTTATAACTGGACACACTTTAAAGAGAGGAAATAAGATGCTGGGAGAAAAGATCAGCCTGCTCCCACGGTGCACGGGTCCAACTGTCGCCACTGCTGGCCCCACAGCTCTGATTCAGCAGCCACCACAGACGTTCGCTACAGCCAGACAGAGATTCTAGCTGCCCAATCCCAGAAGACAACCTTAGACAGAGAATTAGCCCCGGCCACGCCAGTATGGCTCCCAGGACACCACCCTCTCACGGCTCTCCTCCTTTACTGCTCCATCTCAGCCTCCCTTGCCCATTCTTCATCTTCATTACCTCTAAATACTGGAAGTCCCATGGCTCAGTCTTCACACTTCTTCTCTGTCGTCACCTACTCTCTTGATGATTTCATCCAGTCTCATGATTTTGAAAATCATCTATATGCTAAGGACCCTGAAATTTGTACCTCCAGCCTGAACCTCTATCTTTAACTTCAGACTCACATAACCCAGGGTCTACTCTTCATCATTTGGGAAATAATAGGTATCTCAAATGTAACATGTCCCAAAGTGATTTCCCCCAAAGCCTACCCTTCCCATAGTCTTCCATTCTGCCAGGACACGTCCACCCTAGAGCCGTCCTGGATACCTCTCTTTCTCTTATATTCCACATTCGATAGGAAAACAATATTATTGGCACTACCTTCAAAACAGCTAAAATCTACTTCTCTCCACCTCTATCACTTCTACCCTGGATCCAAGCCACCATCATCCTTCACCTTGAAATTGGAATAGCCTAACTCATCTCCCTGTTTCTGCCTCTGCCCTTCAGTCTCATCTCCTGGAGCAGCAAGCGCGCCTGCCCAGACAGAAGGCAGATCCTGGCACTCCTTTGTGCGAAACCTTCCAGGGCTCCCATCTCACTCAGGGTTAAGCCAAAGCCCGGACAAACGCACCAAAGCCCGGACAAACGCACCAAAGCCGTAGAGATCTGAGCCCTACCACCTCTCTGGCCTCACTTCCTGCCACTCTGTTCCAGTCACACCAACCTGACTTACCCACCACAGGTCTTTGTTCAAATATCCCCTCCTAAACAAGGTCTTCCCCAGCCACCCTACTTAAATTACAACCCCCACCCAGGGTTATTGATTCCCCTTTCCCTGTTTTATTTCCTCCACAGCACTTACCACCTTCAAACACACTCTACAATTTACTTATTTACAGCATTGTGTTACCACTTGTCTCCCTTAGCTCCCAGCCCAAGAACTTAAGCTTTATAAAGGTAGAGATTCTTTCTGTGTTGCTCACTGATGAATTCCCACTGACTAGAAAAGTCCCTGGCATATGCTGGGTGCTCAAGAAAAATGTGTGTCTAATGGATGAATGAATGAATGAATGAAAGGATGGATGGATGCGAAGGACACAAAATACACACTTAGCAATACCAAAGTCTCCTCAGTCGGAAAATTCAAAATCCCTTACAAACATAAACTTCAAAACGTTTGGAATCATTTCCTTTTACATCTTTCTTCAACTGAAAACCCCAAAATTCTAAAACTTACCACAGCATAGGAGAAGAGGAAAATAGTGTCCAGTGTTCCAAGGAAAAGAGTGGCTTCCTCTGGACTGGGAAACAAACGGTTGCTGCTCCAGATCTACAGCAATACAACAGGAACAAGTCAGTCCCGACGGTATCTGCTAGCGCTTTCTATTTCTCAGAGCACCTTCATGTACGACCTCCGCCCACCCTCACAGAGACCAGGTGAGGCTGAAAAGAGCAAACCAGCCCTTTCTAGAGAAGAAAACACACATGCAAAACTATCTGCACAATACTAAAATGTTACTTGCTTTTCCTCTTTAATTTTCCATTGATGGTGCAAAAGCTGTGAGGGGTAAAACCCTGGTGCCTTAGCATGAAGTAAGGCAGTTACACCAAACTGTACTATTTTTTTTTTTTTATAATTTTATTTATTTATTTTTCCCCTAAAGCCCCAGTAGATAGTTGTATGTCACAGTTGCACATCCTTCTAGTTGCTGTATGTGGCACGCGGCCTCAGCATGGCCAGAGAAGCGGTGCGTCGGTGCGCACCCGGGATCCGAACCCGGGCCGCCAGAAGCGGGGCGCGCGCACTTAACCGCTAAGCCACGGGGCCGGCCTTCAAACTGTACTATTAATTAATCACCGTATTCTTTACCACCACACTCACAGTGAAAAAAAAAGAGCCAATTTCACTTAAGAATGTCATTGACACATGCCAGACGCTCAATAACGATTTGTCAAGCAGTAAAAATTATTAATTTCATTAAATCTGGCCCGAGTACACTTATTTCTAATACTCTGCGTGAGGCAGTGGAAAGGATGCATGAAGCACTCTGCATACCAAAGAAACGGGTGTCTTGAGAAAAACTACTTGTGCAGTTGTGTGAATTGCTAGAACGTCATTTTTACTTGAAAGAATGATTGACAGACAAGCTATAGTTATTCAGATTTGGGTATTTGGCAGATATTTCCTCAAAAGAGAATGAAATGAACCTGTCACTTCAGGATCCATTCGAAGTACAAGAAAGACAAACGGACCTTTTTTTTTTTTTTTTTTTAGAAGATTGGCCCTGAGCTAACATCTGTTGCCAATCTTCCTCTTTTTTTCTCCCCAAAGCCCCAGTATATAGTCGCATATGCTAGTTGTAGGTCCTTCTAGCTCTTCTATGTGGGACGCTGCCCCAGCATGGCCTGACGAGCAGTGTGCAGGTCCGTGCCCAAGATCCGAACTGGCGAACCCTGGGCTGCTGAAGCGGAGCGCACGGACCCAACCGCTACACCGCCGGGCCGGCCCCAGACAAACGGATCTTAATGTAAGGGTGTACAAAGTTAACTGATACAGGTGCAGATTCCACATTGCAACCAACCTTTTGGAGATTGCCACTTGTCAAATTATGGTGTAGTATCAAAGAAAAATATCCACAATAAACTGAAAAGCTATTAAAATACTTCTCCCTTTTCGACTATGGATCTGTGAAAGATCAAATTCTCTTCATACACTTCAAAGGATCATGTTGCAAGAGACTGAATTCAGAAGCAGATATGAAAATCCACTGTCTTCTATTAAGCCAGACATGAAGAGATTTGCAAAAGTGTAAATCAATGGCACTCTCCTAACTGATTTTTGTTTTGAAAAAATCATTTTTCAAAAAATGTTATTTATGTTAACATGCTATGAGTTTATTTAATTCATTTCAAAATACTAAAAAACCAATGTATTTTTTCAACTTCCCAGTTTCAATTTCTAAAACAGTAAGTATCAATAAAGATAAACCTTCATCACCAAAAGCTCTTTGGGGTCCTCACATCAAAAAGTTAGAGAACCGCTGGACTAAATGATATCTGAGATGGGTTATTACAGAAAAGAAATCTTAACTTTAGAATATTAAAGAGAAAAATCACAATCAGTAATAAAAAAATCTTTAACACAAAGTAAAAGCTCCAAATTATGAGAGAATACATCAAGTGTGGTTCTAAAGTATTGGGACTCATTTCTTTTTTTTTTTTTTTTTTTTTTTTATTTTATTTTTTGCCCCCAAAGCCCCAGTAGATAGTTGTATGTCATAGCTGCACACCCTTCTAGCTGCTGTATGTGGGACTCGGCCCCAGGATGGACAGAGAAGTGGTGCCTCAATGCGCACCCGGGATCCGAACCCGGGCCGCCAGCATCGCAGCGCGCGCACTTAACCACCAAGCCACAGGGCCGGCCCTGGGACTCATTTCTGTGTGGCTTATGGCATCAGTCTTGTTCCTTCAACACCTCACATACTGTTGTCATGAGAGACAGGACAGCAGCTCACACAGCTGAGATCAATCAGTATTTCAGCATGGCAACTGGGGCTCAAAACTTCTCCAATTAGAATTATTTTGCCACATTTTCCCTCAGACCTCAGTCTTTGACCCTGATGCCGCCGGGGCTCATGAGGACCCAGAATTAAGCCCTGCTGTGCACACACCAATGCGGGCTAGGGACAGGCGCCTCAAGCAGCTGCTCCAAGTTGCAGGGGTTTTTCTTTTCTTTTATTTTTTTTTTTTGAGGAAGATTGGCCCTGAGCTAACATCTGTTGCCAATCTCCCCCCCCCCCACCCGCAAAGCCCCATTAGATAGTTGTATGTCATAGTTGTACATCTTTCTAGTTGCTCTATGTGGGAGGCTGCCTCAGCATGGCTTGATGAGCAGTGTGTAGGTCCACGCCCGGGATCCGAACTGGCAAAACCTGGGCCGCCAAAGCAGAGCCTGCGAACTTAACCACTCCGCCACTGGGCCGGCTGCAGGGGATTTTCTTAACTCGCTCAGGAAGTCACCAAAATTCCCTGTAGGTCTGGCTTTCACAAGAAGTGACAGATTTTAAACAGCTTTTTTCTGCTTCACTGCCAGATTTCAGCTGAAATATACTTTTGGTTTCCGACTTCACAGGGGGAAAACAAACAAAACCAAAAACTGAGAAAACAAAGTAGGACTAACAAAAAGATTCAGAAAATAGGATAATAGAAAAAAGCCTAGTGAACAAAGTTTAGTAACATAGCTCAGATCAAGGCGACTATACCAGGAGGCGAGAAATGGTCCAAGCACACAGAGTGAACCACCCAACATTTAATGAAAGTCACCGACAAAATGACTTTAACATGCTGAAATCCCCCACTCGACACTGACTCAAGCGGGCCTGCGTGCATGTCCGGTTGTCACGTGAAGGTACCAGCCTGTAGTCTGCAGGGTTTCCTTGTGCCGTGGGGGGAGGGGCTGTACTAAGCTACCACAATAGCTACATGGTGGGGCACTTCCTGGAAGCATGAACTTCTGTGCACATACAAGGTCAGAGTGTGGGTTTCCTAACTGAGAATGTTCGTCACAGAGGAAGGGCTATATGTGGGAGTGGGGGAACTACTGACATGGAGGGCTTCCTGAAGTGCTGAGCAGAGGATGAGTAAAGCTGACTTATGTGCAGGGGGGTGTTCTCGGCCAAAGGTGAGTGGTATCGGGGTAGGTGAGAATCTACTGAGGAAGAGCAGTGTGGACGAGGCCGAGATGGAATGCTGAAGACACCTGGAATCCTGCTTCCTTCTCCTGGAGAGAACCTCAGACTCGCACACTATTCTCACGGAAGGACTGTACTGTCTGGAGAGGTAAGGCTTTTAATTTAACAGAAAATTTTTGTTTATAATTTTCAGTTAACTTGTTCTCAAATATTAGATTTAACCATTACCTCTTTCTTATCTATAAACAGATTTTATGTTATGTTCATTTACTATTTTCAATATTTGTCCACGTCAGTGGGATCTATTATAAATTCTCAAGGTAAAGAGACTGTGTCCGCTTAATTATTTTTCTAAAGCACCTAAGATAGCTATGTATAAAAATGAAAGCTATAATGAGTATTTTTTGAGGATACTATTTAGGACACTTAAGAAATGTTTAACAATATATTAGCAAAATATTTTTCAGACTAATTTTACATAAACTTCTGGTTCTAAGAACCTTTCCAACCTCTGGACAAGAAAGAAAGTCTCAAAGGGAAGCTCAAGTTAAGACAGGAACAGACCCAAACGCACAGGAGGAGTGAAAGGCACATATCACCCTAGACACTCACTCCCGGCAGCGGCTTCAGGAAAGAAAACACCGAGACTTGCAAGTCTCAAGAAAGAAATGGAAAGTCAGCACTGCTCTCCTGAGGGCAGCTCTGGAAAGACAAAGATCTCCAGGTTAAGTCTGAATTTGCCTTCTACATAACCAATCCATCCAAACTACTTAATCCGTAGTTCTGAAAAACCAGAATGGTGAAAACTATTTTGGCAGCAATGAGAGTAAATAAATAAATAAGCAGAAAAGTTAATGCGACTCCAACAAGAGCTAATAAATGTGACATGGTTACTGGCAGGAGAGAATTAACATAGCAGGCTGAGACTGCGCCCCTTTAAAAAGGCCTGCTCGCAAGCTTGGCCCCTGGCTGCACCTGGGAACGTGGATTTCGGGAGGGTTCCCATCATTCCCTGCTAAGAGTGGCTCACTGTGCCTACACTGTTCATACCAACAATAGGGTTTTTTTTTTTTTTTTTGGGGGGGGTCTCGCCCTGAGCTAACATCCATGCTAATCCTCCTCTTTTTGCTGAGGAAGACCGGCCCTGAGCTAACATCTGTTGCCAGTCTTCCTCCTTTTTTTTCTTTTTTCTCCCCAAAGCCCCAGTAGATAGTTGTATGTCATAGTTGCACATCCTTCTAGTTGCTGTATGTGGGACACGGCCTCAGCATGGCCGGAGAAGCGGTGCGTCGGTGCGCACCCGGGATCCGAACCCAGGCTGCCAGTAGTGGAGCACGCACTTAATCGCTAAGCCATGGGGCCAGCCCAACAATGGGGTTTATGCTGAACACCTGCTTTCCTCCCGGCATCTGGAATTTTGGTACATGCCAGGCAGAGGGTGCCTACGTGAACAGACCCCAGTAAAAACCCTGGGCACTGAGTCTCTAATGGGCTTCCCTGGTAGACAACATTTCAGACGTGTTGTCACAACGTGTTGCTGGAGGAATTAAGCACGTCCTGGGTAGATCCACTGGGAGAGAGCTCCTGGAAGCTTCACATGGCTTCCTCCAGAATTCACCCCATGTGCTTTTCCCTTTGGTGATTTTGCTTTGTAGCCTTTCACTGTAATAAACCACAGCTGTGAGTATGACTATATGCTGAGCCCTCTTAGTGAATCATCAAACCTGGGGGTAGTCTTGGGGAGCCCCAACTCAGTTACCTATAAAACAAAGGCAGCCTTAGGCAGTAAAACCAGAAATTTAGTGCCTACATCAAACCCTATTGTTCTGTCTATTGGTCAGTCTGTATCTGAAATACCACATTTAGTGCCCGGTGTCACTAAACTGTGGTTGAAGGAGCCAGGGATGTTTGGCCTAAACGAGAGAAACTTAAGGAGACAGGTTTTCTTCAAAGATTCAACCAGCTCTCATGCAGCAGGAATCAACTTAGTATTCATGGCTCAGGATGAAACCCAAGATCAAAATTAAACTACAGAACACTTTTACCTCAATATAAGGAAGAGCTTCCCAATAATGAGAGGCGAGTAAAAACGTAATTGTCCACCTCAGAACACAGGGAGTTTCTTCTCCCTAGACGTGTTAGAGCAGAAGCTGGGTGGTCATCCTTCAGTAACGACAAAGAAAGATTTCATTCCAGCCGGGAGGTTAGGGCGCACGACCTCTCTAAGGCCACCCCATCTGGAAGGTTTGTGACAAGTCAGTTAAGGATCATTTAGACACAGTAGTAGTCAAGACCCCGTCTGAAATTTAGCCCTCTATGCTTAACATCTTTCCTTTTAGAAGTTCCTGATAAATTCGAGAAAAACTGTTCAGGCGCATCTCCACTAGAATGTAAGCCCCATGAGGACAGGCTCTGTTGTTTTGTATCCTCAGTGCCTAGAACAGTGTTTATGCAAGACAGACCCTCAATAAACAACTGACTGAGTAACTTATTTACATTTTGGGGGGATACTTACATAACCTTCAAATCTCTGTCAACTTTGAATTGGTGCAAACGGGAAATAATTTTTAAGAAATAAAACATGCTAAGAATATTAATATATACCTATAACTCCACATATGTAGAACTCAAATAATGTGTAAAGATTGAATGGAGTGGATTTGTGTATTGACATGGGGTACTGTAAAGAACAGCATCTCCACTCCAAACAGTCACCAGAGAATTTACTTGGTCCATAATGACCACAAGGAACTGGGACAGAGACTCCCTGACTTCAGGACTCCTAAGCAAGATACAAACAAATGCCAACCATTAGAAAGTATGTAAATATTGAGATATTAAACTACGTAACACAGAGTGCACAGTTCTGAAAGAAAATCAGCAGAAGCTGGAAAAAAACTTGATATAAAAAGTGGCATTTTATCTTGACACAAAGGGAAAAGCAAAATTTAGATGGCTGGTAAGAAGGTGCAAGAGCATATAGAAGATTATGAGCAAAATGTCAAAGGCAGAAATGAGCACACTACTTGTGAAACTCAACAAAAAATATAGCCTGGCCAGAAGGGCATGATTTTAAAACAGTGAGACATAGGCCGGCTGAATGGTAAAGCAGGCCTAACCAGGGCAAGCTAAGAAATCAGGCGGAACAGTTGGATTTTATGCCATGGGAAACAGTAAGCCATTTCAGAGTCCTAAGCACATGAAGGAAACAAAATAGAAGAACTGAAGAAGAATTTAGGGGTGGGCATGGTTCCCTTCTTAAGTCCATCCCAGCACTTTGCTCTGCTCACCTCTACAGGCAGCTCAACTGATTTGTTAAAAGCACTTGGGGTCCACTGCTTAGAGATGCTGACCTTGACATTGCTAAAAGTTTTTCTTGACGCATGGAGCAACGAATAACTACAAAAAAGAGAAGAAATACAGCTGAAGGAACAGCAAAGAAAATGACATTCAATAAACTCATATACACCCCCGTTTGTTTTATTCAATTTTAGAATTCTTCTCTTTAAAAAAAAAAGAAGGAAAAAGCACTGCTTTATAAGAACTATCAATTGAAACAGCCTCTGCAAAGCAAAAGAAAAAGTTAGTCTTCTTCAATATGAGTCCCCATGTTCTCGCATAACTTGTCCTTGCACCTAAAAGATGGAGATGTCACTGATCCCAACCGACTTAAATCATGGGTGCAGTTCTGTAAAGAATTTTAAGTCTTTAGCAACCATTGGCCACTCATTGCACTAGCCATTCAGTAGGTTTTTCCCTGGGTCCTGTCTTTTCCTAATACTGAGGGCTCCCCACCCCCCACTAATGGATATCCCCTAAACCAAGCATCCAAAATTACCTATCAACTCTTACATAACTAGAGAACCATTTTCCTAGTTTCTGCTTTAAAAAAAAAGTCATCCTCATTTGTGGTGCCTTTAATAAAGATTAATAATAAGCAAAATCTACTCAGAAGAAATAATCAAAATAGCTGAGTCACAAGGTTACGAACAACATGCCCCTAACATCAAATGGTTTGGTTTATGTCATCTACAGACCACTAAAGAGAGCCACTATGGCCACAGAATCATAAACATGAACGTTTATTCAGTCATGCTGCCTGGTGGGCTGCTGGCACTCAGGGATCTCACAGGAGGTACCAGAGTCCCTCACCATTGTCTCATACCATCTTTACTGCTCAAGGAGGCCCAGGGCCTTCCCTGAATATGCACATCCCTTGCCTCAGGCTCCTCATTTTAACAAATGAAAGGCTTTATATTAGATCAGGGTTTCTCAACCACAGCACTACTGACATTTTGGGCTCCCAAAATTCTGCACTGTGGGCGGTTGTCCTGTGCATTGTAGGATGGTTAGCAGCATCCCTGGTCCCTACCCCTTCCCCTACCATGACAACCAAAAGATGTCTCTACACATTGCCAAATGTGGGCAAAATGACCGTTGAGAACTCCTGCATAGAGCTATCAAAAAGTAAAACAGAAGGAACAGTCTACTTCATGATAAGCCCATGCCAACCACTGCATTAAGCTCTTGCCATGCAATAAATATCTCCCACCAAAGGAAAGAAACAACAACAAGAGAACAGTTTTAGCAGCCCGCTTACCTGAAGAAGGTGAGCAGGAACACGACAACATGATGATGGCTGAACCGGGAGAGCAGAGCTCTTCTCTGAAAAATATGTGGCCAGCCCATGTTCTTCCTGACCTTCCTTCTCACCTTTGACCTTAAAGTTTGGATAGTGAATGGTTTACATCATTTCCTCTTTCTGGAAAGACAAAACACATTATTAACATTACTCAAAATAGGCAGATCATCAAAAAACTGAATTATTTAGACTTATAACCAGTCAGCATATAATCCGGCCTTTAAAAAAATCACATGGGCTAGCTGACACCAGAAAACTAGATTGATAATTATGTTTTATAACTATAAGCCAGTCCTTTAAAAAAAATCCTTGACAAAAGATTACATCCTAATAGAAACAACTCTCATACAAACTGATAAGAAAATTACTAACTTTGACAGAAAAATGAGCAAAGGAAATGAATAGACAACTCAGAAGTAATGAAATGGCTATTAAACTTATCCAATAAAAGTTCCAATCTCACTAGTAATACGAGAAATGCTAATTAAGGCAAGAAAATGTTTGCATAGTTAAAAAAGATTGTGCTCAATGCAGCTCAAGGTCCAATGACCCCTGAACTCTCATATGCTGCTGATGGAAGTGAAAATTAGTACCTACTCCAGGAAGACAATCTGGCCACGTTCATCAAGAGCATCTGACACAAAAATTCAGTTTCCAGGGATCTATTCCTGAAGAAATAAAGATGCATTCAGGTCTATAAACAAAGGTAGTTTTCACAAAGTCTCAAAGGAGCTTTTTTTATATTAAAGAAATGAACTTTGTGTTGGTCATAAGGGAATAGGGGAAAGAGGCAGGGACACTCCTGTGCCATCTTGTTCCTCTACTTCCTCTCATCTCTCCTTTGTCCTCTCCGACAACTGCTTCCATGCTCTGATATCCGAGAATAATTAAGCGTAACGTAAGCCTCTAAACTTAATGTCTCCAGTCATAAGTCTGCAGAAACAACCTAAACATGCAATGAAGGGAACGATTAAATAAATTATGACATTTCCATATGGTGAATATTATATAATTATTTCACTTGATGAATTAAGACTTTTTAATAACATGAGAAAATGTCAAGTGAAAATAGTGGGATATGACATAAAGATATGAACTCTCTGAAGAGATATGACATTTACAAATAAATAGAGAATACACTAGTTCTCTCTGGGTAGTGAGATTAAGAGTAATTTTAATGTTCTATATACATTCCTAAAAATTCTACAATAAACACGTATATTACTTTTATAATCAGGAGGGAAAACATCTACAGTATTGGAAAAGTCCTATAATTTATCTGCATATTAGGAAAAAAAATTAAATTAACAAAATGACTTGTATGATAAATATACTGCAATAGTCAAGGTAGGGGAGTCAAGAGCTCCCAATACTAACATTAGCAAATCACAGGGCTTTGCTGTCAAGGCTGTATTCCTGGTAACTGCTGGTATACCACCGTTTTCACTAGCCACAGCTTGGTAGATGTACCCAAACCTTCAATGCTGACAGACCCAGCCAAAAGGCCGTTCTTGGAACTTCTGGATAAAAGAAACAAAGTTGAGGTGGTTAAAATTATAGTATAAACTTAAATAGCTGTTTCACTTACTGGCTGTGAGCCCTTAGTGACAAGTTAATCTCTGTGAATCACAGATGGTCATCTGTAAAATGGCCTATCTCTTCAGAGAGTTGTGAGATTAAAATAAACAATGTATAGAAGGTACTAAGATAATTATTTCAGTCACTGATCTGCCTTGGATTAATTCCACATCAGTAGAATGTAGCTCATTTCATTTAATCATTCTCCCTGAAAAATGTTAACAAAATTATAAGCCAAGTAAGACTATAAAATGCCACTCACAAAATGCAAATAAACTGTCTATAATTCCAGGAGGCTACAAAACTGAAAGCTATTAGTGTTACTACTAAATTTACCTCCATCTGCCAAATTAAACATGAAACCCAAGTGGAACAACCCATAGCTTCAAGCATTCTTTATAAATCATAGCTCTTTGAACTGAACAGATTCAGAACTCAAAACACTGTACTGAGTACTTAGGAAAGGGTACGGGTTCTGAAATTCTATAGTCTATCAGATAAGATAATAATTCCAAAAATGTACACTCCAAGAGATTGGAATTACATTGCTTTGATTGGAATTACACTGCTTCAACTGGAATTACACTGCTTCGGCAAAAATCGTTGTGTATTTCAGGGTTGCACAGTTACATTAACAGCTTTAAATAACTACCAAGCTGTTTGAGACCATCTGGATTTAGTTTCTAAATAAACCACCTTTTCCTAAGCTATAGTGATAGGGGAGAAAATGCTTAATAAGTACATTGGGAAAATAGTTTTAAACATTCACTGGCTGTTGGCAGAATGCCGTTTAAAATGAATACTATTACAACATCTGGTCCTATGTAATTATAATAATTAATAATAATACCTTGCACTTAGATCCCATAGATCACAGAAGTGATTTCTATTCATCTGCGAGCTCTGGGGCTCTGGGGAAGCCCAGAGAGCTTTTGCCAAGTCTGAATCCATCAAGCTCATCCTACTTTCTGAAGACCAGTTTCTTTCCTGCTCTAAATATAGACTGAACTAATGTCTAACATTTTTCAAGTGCATGTAAAGGCCATTATAATTAATAAAACCAAAATTCATTTAAGTGTTTCTGAATGTATAATAGCTTGTCATTTAGCATTTTCTCAATCAATGGATACTGAATGTACAACTATCATGTGAGAACAAGAATTATCTTAAAAAAAAAAAAACCTTATTAAAAATAAGATCCTTGCCATCAAAAAGGATCCAGAACCACATTCTAGTTTTCAAAGCAAGTTCATAATCACTAATTCATCTGATTTGTAATGAAGCTTTTTTGGGTCCTGGAATATCACCCATACAAGGTACTTTCCAGAATGGAATAGTCCATATTACGCGATGGATGCTGAATGAAAGATGGCTTCGCATGTAACCTGTCCAGATAGCAGGCAATCTCCTCCTTATAAAACAATATCTTGGAATACAAAACATTCCAAAATTTCCACTTTCTATATTTAGAGTCCATTCCAACCCCAATATAGGAAGATTTAAAGTTGTCTTGTATTAGGAAAATTTGTGGAAAATATACCTCAAGGTGGAAAGGGGAAAGATCGGTAGAAAAGGAGACAGCACATCTAAAGCATCTAGAACCCCATGCCCATTGTGCCCCGAACACCTCATCTGACCTAGTCTTCACCCCGCCCCAACCCTTCCTACCCAGCTCTCTGGAAACCTAGATACACGGTTAATAAATCCTCTCTATCATTACGCTCTCCTGAGAGTCCCCTGCCTTTCCTGCCATAGTGGCCTCCCGCCTGCCCCCAGATAACCCCGCTTCCTCTGCGGTCTCTCAAGGAGCAGCAATCTTGCTTCTCACAACCACTTTTCCTCTGTGCAAGACCCCAGCTTCTCTGCCATGAAGGCCCTCGGCTCTCCTGCCCGCTGCCCCTCGTGAGTGTCATCTCCTGACTCCCACCCCTCCCCTCCCACTGCAGACAGCTCCTGCCTCACCTGGCCTCCCCACCACTGTCTGTCTTGCTTCAACATCCAAGTGGGTAATCCATCCGTCCCGTCCTCTTCTCCACCAATCTTTGCCTCCACCCCACAATACAAACCACAAGGTCAAAACACAGTCCTTGTCATCACTAGTAGTTGCATCACCTCCCAAACTGGATTTCAAACATCCTACTTTCTTTCCTTCCAGAAAACTGCTTCCTTTCATACTCCTCACTCCAACAGTCATTTTACCTCAGCAAGGCTCCCACTTCGGGCACCTCACCATTGTCTTCCGTTATCCATTACCATCCTCTTGTCCTCACTTCCTTCTTTACCAACTTAGAATCCGAACTCTCTCCCTTATGGGCCTTTTTTCTTACTTGCCTCTGCCCTCCTTCCCTATGACCAAGCAGTTGTGTTTTGCTAGAGAAAAATCACACAAGCAGGCTGGTTTTGCTTTTTAGATTCAAAACCACAAACCCCAAAGGCCATGCAACACTGCCCAGTAAGTCTATACTTCCCTAATAATTTTGCTTTCTCAACCTCTAAGACAACTATTTCACACTTCTCTCTTTAAACTTCCAACATCTCTCTCTCCTCCTTCATCCAGTACCATGGTTTTCTGCCGATGACTCCCAGATGTATAGCTCTAACTCAGACCCCCCAGGGTTCCCAACAGTACAGCCAACTGACCGCTTGATATCCCCCTGTGTACCTAAAACAGAGTTCCTCATTTCCTCCCTCCAAACCTATTCCTCCCCGAGCATTCTCCACCTCAGCAAACGCTACCACCATTCCTCCAAGTTGCCCAAGGTAACTAGGACTTATCCTTCATTTCTCCTTTTCTCTCAGCTTCCACATCCAACCTTTTACTAAGTCCAGTCCTTTTCACCTGCAAAATACATCCCCCATCCATCCTCTTCTCTCCATCCGCCACCACCAAGATAAACCACCCACATCTCCCACCAAGCCTACAGCAACAGCCTCCTGCAGGGTTTCACTGTTTCTACACCTACCTCTCCACCCCCCATCATCCTGCACACATCAGCCAGAAATATATCTTAAAACATAAATCTGGGGCCAGCCCAGTGGCATACTGGTTGGGTTTGCACACTCCATTTCAGTGGCCCAGGGTACGCGGCTTCAGATCCCAAGCTCGGACTACACACCGTTTATCAAGCCATGCTGTGGCAGGCGTCCCACATACAAAATAGAGGAAGACTGGCATAAATGTTAGCTCAGGGCCAATCTTCCTCAGCAAAAAGGGGAGGATTGGCAACAGAGTTTAGCTCAGGGCTAATCTTCCTCACCAAAACAAACAAACAAACAAACAAACAAAAACACATAAATCAGCTGTCATTCCTCTGCTTAAAATGCTTTGATGGCCTCCCAAGACTCAGATAAAAACACAACAGTTTTGCCATGGCCTCCAAAACCCATATAGCCCAGCCCTCTGTAGTACAAAAGGAAGGCTAAGAGGTAGGGAGCAGGCGAGCTGACGCTGGGGTTGGCAGAAGGAGGCTAAGGATGCAAGAGGGGACTGCCTGAGCAATGACTGGAGAGATTGGGTTTATCTGTTTTTAATTATTTTATTAATTTTCAATAGGTAATATACGCATAAGGTAGAAAATTCAAAAGACACCAAAGGGTACACAGTGACATCTCCCTCCCTGTTCTTGTCACCCTGTGCTCCTCCCAGTTTTTTTTGCCTTCTTGCAGAATCTACACCTGTGCATACATTCCAGGCATAGCCCCCGCACTCACACATACACAAATGGGAGCGTCCCACACACTATTCTGCACCTTTTTTCCCCTCACTTATCAGAGGTCGGAGGTCCCTCCACTATCCACACCTTCAGAGCTGCCGCATTCCAGTCTCTGACTGGACATCTGGGTGGTTCCCAATCCTTCGCCAGTATACACCAAGAAGAGCTGGCACGTTTCCTTTCTACTCTTTGCCCACCTTGCTCCCCACCGCCACCAGCACAACCCTCCACACTCACCACAACCTTCCCCGCACCTAGTCCCCTTCTTATCCTTGAACTCACCACGCCCTTTCTCGCTTTGAGCCTTTGCCATTGCTGTTCCGCTGCCTAAAATGCTTTTCTCCTGGTTCTTTGCAAAGAGCTTGCTCTTTCTTTTTCTTGGCTCATCCTCAAATGTCATCTCCTCGAGTGGCCTGCCCTGATCGCCCTACCTAAAATGTCACCCTCAGTGACTACCTCTCTCATCTGCATCTATTTCCTCCCTTCATAGCATTTCTCCCACTCTAATTATCTGGTTTCACTGTTTACACGCTTAGTGTTCATCTGTAAGCTCCATAAAAGCAGTGGCCTTATGTCTTAAGTCCACAGCTATACCCCAGCACCCAGCAGGGCATGTACAATGATCAATAAAGATTTTCTGAATGAATGAATGAATTCTTTGACTAATGGCCAGCACTGAATGCTTTCAAAGTGCCAGGTACTTGCCATGCATTATTGCCTTTAGTTCTCACATCTTACAGAGGAACAGATTTTAGAAAGTAATATCTTTGGGCCGGCCCCAGATTTATGTTTTAAGATATTAGAAATATCTCACTTTAGGGGCCGGCCCCGTGGCTTAGTGGTTAAGTGCGCGCGCTCTGCTACTGGCAGCCCGGGTTCAGATCCCGGGCGCGCACCGACGCACTGCTCCTCCGGCCATGCTGAGGCCGCGTCCCACACACAGCAACTAGAAGGATGTGCAACTATGACATACACCTATCTACTGGGGCTTTGGAGAAAAAAAGGAGGAGGATTGGCAATAGATGTTAGCTCAGGGCCAGTCTTCCTCAGCAAAAAGAGGAGGATTGGCATGGATGTTACCTCAGGGCTGATCTTCCTCACAAAAAAAAAAAAAATCTCACTTTAAACTTAGAGGTATAAATCCAGGATGGAAAAAAACACACCTTATTAGTAACAGCAGTTCTCTTACAGAAGTGAGAAGGGCATTACATGGGCAATTACTTAACTCCCTAGACTTCAGTTTTTATGTTTACAAAGTAAAAAGATTATGTGTACTCAAAGTATAAAGAGGTAGGTGGAAAAAAATTAAATGGATAGTTGAGTTCACCTATTTTGACAGTATCGTGTATGCTGTAATTTAGCCCCCCAATGCTCTACACTTATACAAGGATCTTTTTTATCCCACATTATCTCATTTGAAGCTATTTGCCTGTATCACATAAATCCTTTTATACAAAACTCAAGCCTTCCTGTAATTTTCCTCTCTTCTTAAATTGTTTCATTACCACAGATGTAAAATACCTACCACTTATCTGTAAAATTCTCTCATCTTATTCCAGAGTTCCCAAAAGCACTTTCTTCCTACCTATTTTGAACACATTCCAAAAACTAGTTTTCAAGATAAAAATCTTTCCCTCTCCTAGACAAAGGACATCTACTCAAGTTAATGGTCATTGCTATGACATTTATCACTGACGAAAGGGACAAACGAGAACCTTAAACAATGAATAATACACTTGATCCTAACAGCTGGTGAGCAACAAGACATTGCACTGACTTGAATCTTATAAAAGTATTATTTCTGGGTCATTTTCTAATGCAGAGACTGGAAATCAAAGATTAACAGAAGAATGATGTCACCTGAAGCCACGAGTGGCCCACAAAAAGGCGTTAAAGTTCCAGCTGGAATCCAAGACTCTCCACTTAACCTCTTTGAGCCTCAATTTCCTCATTAAGGATTAACTGAGATCATTTATAGAGAGTTCCTAGTATAGAGCCTGGCACACAGTAAACATCCAACAAATGATAAAGAAATAATTCAGCACCAAGACATTGAAGAAAGAAGGTGGCAAGTAAGAGTCAGATTTTGCTCACCCCAGAAACACATTTTTCTCCCTAGGAACATTTCAGTAAAAATTACCATGAGATCATCTACAATCTTGTATTTCAAGAAACACCAAAAACCCTGTGGACACATTCTCATTATCCCCTGTCAAAAGTGAGAATAAACAGACCACATTCTGCAAATAAGAATACCGAGGGAATGACGAATAAGTAATCTGACCAAATTCCTTGACTGAGACCATGGATAGTTACCAAAAAGCACAATCCAGTTATTTCGCTAAGACCCTTCTCCCTTTTTGGCCTCAGTACATTCTTTCCAAAAGCTTCCCCGCCCTACCTGAAAAGTACCCCTTCTCCAACTCTCAACTACAAGCCCTTTTCTTGCACAGGAGCCCCCGCCGCCGCGCTGGCGCGGGTCTGGCCGCCGGCTCTCCCAGAGGATCCTCCCGGATTCTCCCGCTCTCCTCCTGCTGCGGTTCTCGCCGGCTCCGCCAGGCCCCGCAGCCCTGGGGGGGCCGAGGAGCCAGGCCCGGGGTGGAGGGAGCGAGCGAAGGGCCGGCCGGGCCCGCGGTGCCACACCCACCGGCCGCCACCATCTGCCTCTCTGCATCGCCCTCCCGTCCCCTGGAAGCCCCTCGGACCTGCCCTCGCGTGCGGAGCCCCCACACTCCACCCCAAGCCGGGCTCCGGGCCCCACGCGCCGCGGCTCGCGCACCCACACCCACAGGGATCGCCGCGCTCCAATCCGCCGCTCCACTAGTTCTGCTCTGCCGCCCGACGCCCCCGCCGCCACCTCACTCGCGGAGCCGCGGCCGGGGTTTCCGGGCGCTCACGTGATCCGCCCCCGTCCCCGCCGCATGCTGGGAATTGTAGTCCGACCGAGCGGCTTCACCTGCGAGCGGTGAGAATGGGAGGGAGGGGGAGGGCGACCGCCTCTGTGGACCCGGCTGCTGGGCGAGGGCGGGGACCCAGGCCACGAACGTTAGGAAAAAGGCAGTGAGGGAGAGAGAGATATAATCGGGGGAGAAATGACGTATAGATCATCTATTTTCAGAAAAGCTTTATTCCGCTCTTTGTTTTGATAGAAAGTGACGTGCTAAGTGTTCTATGGACCTGCCCATGAGGGCATAAGCTTTAGATTTTAATTAAATACAGTTGCCCGTAAGGACAGGGCCACGAGTCTGCCAGTATCATTCACTGTTCTACCCACCACGCCACACACACACACCCAAACAGATAAGTGAATGTTAAGATCCTGGCAGTCTCAAGCAAAAATTATAGGCCTTACAACACACAACTCTGAACAAAGGCCTTCTGCCCTCCTGGGCTCTCTTTCAACTGTTGGGAAAATATAATTTAAAAAATAAAATAACAACTTCTCTTAACCCAGAAAACCTCTCCACAAAGGTAGTAGATTAGAAAACAGTTTTATCATCGAGTAAGCTTTAAACCAGAACGTGACACATATCACAGGCAACATGCTAAGAGACTGCAAAGACAGAAAGGGATCCCCGCCTCGTATAGCCAAGCAGATACAACCCATCACATGCATGTTCTCAAGATAAACAATCACTAGTTCTCCAATGAGAGGACTTGTCAGGACCTTTTGTCACACATAGTTTGTCCTAATTTTATCACAGTGATTGGGGAGACCACCTGTGTTGGCTTAGCCAGAGGAGAAACAAACCTCTCATATCTTCAGGATAGGAGATAGTCTTGGAGATTGGAACAAGGCGTCCATGGAAGTTAGGCTCTTCCCCTCCCACAGGAACTGGGAGTTAAGGGCAATATCTCCCTGGATGTTTGTATTTCGACAGATGGCTCCCTTGGGGCCAGCTGGGTGGCATAGCAGTTAATGCAAGCGCTCCGCTGCCGTGGCCCAGGGTTCGCAGGTTCGGATCCCGGGCGCACACTGACGCACCGCTTGTCAAGCCATGCTGTGGCGGCGTCCCATATAAAGTAGAGGAAGATGGGCACGGATGTTAGCTCAGGGCCAGTCTTCCTCAGTAAAAAGAGGAGGATTGGCATGGATGTTCGCTCAGTGCTGATCTTCCTCACAAAAAAAAAAAGAAAAGAAAGATGGCTCCCAGGTCCTGGAGGAAACATTCCTGAGTTGTGAGACTGGCCAGAGGTTATTTAGCCATTATAAAGATACACATATATTTGAAGAGGACAGAGAAAGAAATTTTGAAAGAAAAGGGAGCATGGGTAGGGGGGTTGGGAATGGAGGGTCTCTTCCCTTATTTTCAACAGGGAGAAATAAGCCTCTTATTTTTAATTTGTATTTATTTGCCTTTACACAATGCAGTGGTAGTTTTGTTTCCAGTCATCTAAAGGTGTGGCTTGGGAAATGTGGTATCAGGGTGAGCAACAATAAATCAGCCAAATGTTTCACTTTTATTTTATTTTTTGCTGAGGAAGATTCACCCTGAGCTACCATCTGTTGCCAATCTTCCTCTTTTTGTATGTGAGCTGCTGCCACAGCATGGCCACTGACAGACGAGTGGTGTAGAACCACACCTGTGCCTGGGAACCAAACCCGGGCCACCGAGCGGAGCCACCGAACCTAACCACCAGGCCACTGGGGCCTTTCATTTAAAAAAAAATATTGTGGGATATTAGCCTTAAAAAGGAATGAATTTATAGGGGCCGGCCGGGTGGTGCAAGTGGTTGGGTGCACATGCTCCGCTGCGGCGGCCTGGGGTTCGCCAGTTCAGATCCCGGGCACACACCGACGCACCGCTTGTCAAGCCATGCCGTGGCGGCGTTCCATATAAAGCGGAGGAAGATGGGCATGGATGTTAGCCCAGGGCCAGTCTTCCTCAGCAAGAAGAGGAAGATTGGCAGATGTTAGCTCAGGGCCGATCTTCCTCAAAAAAAACAAAAAGGAATGAATTTCTGATACATGCTACAACATGGATGAACCCTGAAAACATTATGCTAATTGAAATAAGCCAGTCACAGAAGGAGAAATATTGTATGATTCCATTTATATGAGGTACGTAGAGTAGTCAAATTCATAGGGACAGAAAGCAGAATAGTGGTTACCAGGGGCTGGGGGGTGGGGAAATGGGAGTGACTATTTAGTGGATATAGAGTTTCAGTTGGGGATGATGAAAAAGTTCTGGAGATAGATGGTGGTGATGGTTGCACAACAATGTGAATATATTTAATACTATTGAACAGTACACTTAAAAATGGTAAAATATATATATATATTGTGAAATATATGTGCGTATATACACATACATATGTGTGGTGCGTCTGTATAAAATAAGTATATAACCTGTATCACCACACCCAAGGCAAAATTGCCTTCTTCCCCAGAGCCCAAGCTATGCTCTTGGCACTTACAGTCACGGTGATGCAGAGGGTCTGGCTAGGGAGAGGCAGAATCTCTCCTGGACTTCCATCACCATCTGGACATTTTAGCATTCGATTTCTACTTCTAGGTGTTCTCCAAGTGCTGGGTCTGAGTCAGCTGGGTTTTTTTTCTTTAACAGTAATTACGAGAAGAAGACAACATTTTGACACCTGACTTCATTGACACTGACGTCTAATGGGTTTTATTTCCTGCCCCCTGCCCTTACATTTGTGGTGGGTCTTGACCTACATTTCATTTCCAAGCCACAGACGGATGACTGTGGCTGCCAGGCGGCAGTGTGCCTCAGCAGCATTTGGCGGTGTCTTTTGTTTTCTCGCCCTACCTGCCAGCATTGGGTTTCTTACCCAAAAGAGAGGTTCCTGAAGATGTGTAAATGGAATTTGGGATAAGATAAATCATATTTCAAAGGTTATCTGAAGGAATCATAGAAAGAAATGTTCTTGAATGGTGAATAAATTATCCTCTATTTCAGCGCTTCTCAATCTTTCTAGATCTCAACCCAGAGTTAGAAATACATTTTACATCACCCCCAGTACACACATGCGTATTTACAACTGACCCAAACATCTCACAAAACAATACTTAGCCTTACTACATGAGATACATTCTGAAACTTTTTCCTAATCTCTTCTGTAAAAATGCTGGTTGCAACGCACTAAAACTGATTTCATGACTCCTTAATAGGTTTCCACTCAGTTTGAAAACACTATACCAATTTAAATATTTTATCAATCCGGATGTTTCCGTTTTGCATATTGTGCCTATAGCTTAACTGCCTACATGTTACATTCTATATAGTGGAGAAAATCTAGTCCCTAGATGTGAGAGGCAATAACTCTTGTAGACTCTGTGAGGAAAAAAATAAGGAAAATTCACCTCAGCTTTATGCTTCCACTGCCAGCATGGGGGACTGATAAACTCCAGGTTTTCTCAGACCTAGAAGTTAACCTGCGTTGTGTGGTAGATTTTTATGAGGGAGGGAAACAGAAATTTTTTTCCAGCTCTTTCTTCCCAGACGAATTTAAAGTTCTTTTAGTTTTTCAGTCTTCTCTTTGGATCACCTCCTTTCTCTCAGTGTCTCCTCAAAAAGAGTTATTCGAGTCCACAGACAATTAAATGACTCAAGATCCAGCTCTGTATCCTCCTTTAAATTGCATCCTCTCAACTAGCCACCCCCACCCCAGCCAAACAAGGGACACCAGGAAAAATCGGAGACGGAGGCTGCCTGAGAGAAGGTGAGTAGAAAGAAGAAACAGGACAGCTTAATAGGTATTGGCTGAGTAAACTGGCTAGTGCTTGCGTTTGGGCTCTCCCAGGTGACGAATGTTCGGAGGGCGAGCTGACTTGGCGAGGCTGTGCTGGCCGGCGTCTCACCTTGTGCTTTGTACCCAACGGGCAGCAGCTCCAGCTCCCGGCCCGGGGCGGTGGGAGGGTTTGTGCTTTCCTTTCACTTTCTCAGGCCACCAAACCTGACACCTAGGGACAGAACTACAGTTCCCACCTCACAGCGAGGCAGGAGGAAGAGGGGCGCTGAGGACCGAAAAGGAAGACAAGGAGAGAAAAAAACATTACCCGCCGGCAGAGTGAGAGAGCAAGACAGGTAAGCGACAGGTGAACCAGGAAGGTGGAGGCGCGGGATGTGGGTTGGAGGGGTTGGCGGGTGGACACTGCGCCTTTCTCCTTGCAGGGTGTGTAGGCTAAGTTAAAGGGGGCTATTGTGGAAACTCTAAGGACTTCTTGGGGAGTGGGTGGGACACGGAAGGAAGATTTCATCTCAAGTTACAGTCATAAGACGCCGGAAGTGGAATGGCTTTCTTTATTTGAAAAGCCAGAGGGGAAAAAAAGCAGTTTGATTGTATCTCTTGTCTGCTAGATGATTTAGCCATAGGTGATTTCAGAGGCACCCCAGAGAGGTATGGGATCTTTCTTCACCATTTAAAGCTTGAGGTTTTCACATACAGATGGGATATTTTAATTTGTGTGATGATATAGACTTGTCCTTTTCTATGACTTTAGAGAAAACCAAAGAATAAAACTAGGGGAAATGAAGAAGTCAGGAGCACATCAAATTTAATCATCAAATGGAATAAGATTTCCCGTACTTTTATGAGACATTTGATGAGGAAACCCAACACAATATCCTATGAAGAACTGTGAAAGGGCCTAGGGATATTTGCCTTGAGGGGATATGCTTGCTGCTTCAAATATCTGATGGGCTCTCATGTGGCATAGGAATCTACTGAGTCCTGGCATAGCACGAGTGTCAACAGACTGAAACCCCAGGGAGATCCATTTCAACCCCATGTGAGTCAGAGCTATGCACACAGCATGGATTTTTTCAGGAGATAGTGAGTTCCTCCTGATCAAACATATTGAAGCATAGATGGATATTTCAGCAGAGATGCTGAAGGTGGGAATAAAGTTTCAGGTGAGTGATTGTGTTGAACAACGTTTCCCAAACCTGGCCGGTCATCAGAATCACCTGGGGCGTGTGCGCATGTGTGTGTGCATGTTTTTAAATATATTTAACAGTTCTGGGATGGGCTCCAGGAATATATATTTTTAATTATCTCCCCCAGATAATTCTGATATAATCAGTTTGGGAAACACCATCACTAGAAACTTTAAGTTAATTTCCAGCCTATGGTCAAGTATACCATAAACATTCTAACCATAGTTTTCCTTTTGAATATTCTAAAAATCCTAATTTCCTACTCAAGAAAAATTAGGTGCCAAGCAGAAGAAAAAGGCCATGTCCTCCTCCCTAAACTGACTTCTCTGTCCAGTCTTGTGGTCCTTGCTGCTGGTTGCCTGGACCTTCAGTCTTCCAGTAGTTGGGAGTCTCCCTCACCATGTGAAATGGAGATAGGATGACAGTAGGCATGTCTTCCAACCGATGAATGGCAGGTAAAACACTCCTGTGGGCATCTCCTCTGCCATCCTGCTCTCCAGGCACTTGACGGAGCATGGGGCACCTGGTCTCTAGTGTTGACTGTACTGGGCCCAGCAGAGAATGGCAGTAGAACCTCTTCACTTAGAGGGTACCCCTAAAGTAATGTCAACCCACTAGGGCAGGTGTGGGCTTATGGGGCAGCTCCTTTGTACCTGACCAGTCATTAGTATCCTTCTCCCACGAGGATGTTAGTGCTATAAAGCAGTGACCTCCCTCTGTCTGTTTTTTTTTTTGTGAAGAAGATCAGCCCAGGGCTGGCCCGGTGGCTTAGCGGTTAAGTGCACGTGCTCCGCTGCTGGCGGCCCGGGTTCGGATCCCGGGCGTGCACCGACGCACCGCTTCTCCGGCCATGCTGAGGCCGCATCCCATATACAGCAACTAGAAGGATGTGCAGCTATGACATACAACTATCTGCTGGGGCTTTGGGGGAAAAAATAAATAAATAAAATCTTAAAAAAAAAAAAAAAAAAGAAGATCAGCCCTGAGCTAACATCCATGCCAATCCTCCTCTTTTTGCTGAGGATGACCGGCTCTGAGCTAACATCTGTTGCCAATCCTCCTCCTTTTTTTCCCCCAAAGCCCCAGTAGGTAGTTGTATGTCATAGCTGCACATCCTTCTAGTTGCTGTATGTGGGACGCAGCCTCAGCATGGCCGGAGAAGCAGTGCGTCGGTGCGCGCCCGGGATCCGAACCCGGGCCACCAGCAGCAGAGCGCACGCACTTAACCGCTAAGCCATGGGGCCAGCCCCAACCTCCCTCTGTCTTGTCCTGTCCTGTGCTGGGCCCTGAGTGCCTAGAATAGTGCCTGGCACCTGGTGAGTGCTCACTAAAGAGACTCTGAATTCCTTCTTTTCTTCTTTGGTCCATTCTAGGTGGCAAGAGCCATGCAATTCTCCGGCTCAGCCAGGGCAGCTGATGAGAACTTTGACTATTTGTTCAAGATTATCCTCATTGGGGATTCCAATGTGGGGAAGACGTGTGTGGTGCAGCATTTCAAATCCGGGATCTACACAGAGACACAGCAGAACACGATTGGGGTGGACTTCACTGTGCGCTCCCTTGAGATCGATGGCAAGAAAGTGAAGGTCAGAGGGGCACGGGGTTGGCACCGCCTCTTTTAGCCAGAGTTCCTAACACTGAAACACATGCCTGAGGAATAAAAGATTTAAATATAAAACACGAAATCATAAAAGAATCAGAAAAAAACATGGGAGTATTTATTTTTATCATTGTGGAATGGGGAAATCAGCCTTTTGAGTAAGAACCCAGAATCCATAAAGGAAAATATTGCTCAATCATAACTATGTAAAGGCCAAATTTATACCTTTGTATATAACGATATAAAGGTCACATTTCTACATACTCAAAAATACCATAAACAGAGTCAAAAGATGAATGAAAAACTGGAAAGAAATATTTGCAAGTATGGGACTTAACAAAGGGCTAATTTCTTTAATGTGAAAAGAGCACTGATAAATAAGAAAAACACCAACAACCAAATACAAAAAGGAAGCAACTCACAGATTGGACAAAACTGCTCTTTCACAGATTTTATCAGAACCAGCTCATAAACTATGTCATATAAAAGTGCCCGTCCTCACTCATAATTAAAGAAGTGCAAATTAAAATAACAGTGAGATACTATCTTTTACCCATTTGATTAGAAAAGAAGTGTTGGTGAAAATGTAATAAACGGATCTTGTTTGGGATCCTGATTAAATGAAAACAACAGTAAAAAGAGATTTTGGAAACAATCAAGAAAATTTTTATACGGTCTCGGTATTAGATGATACCAAGGAGTTATTGAAAAGTTTATTAGCAGTGACAATGGCATTATGGTTATGTAAGAAAATGTCCATTTTTATAAGGATGTATATTGATGTAAGTAGGGATGAAATGAAGTCTGGGATTTGCTTTAAAATAATACCTCAAGGAAATCAACAGAAAGGGCTAGATGAAGCAAGAGTGGCAAAATCTTGATAATTATTGAATCTGGATGATGGATATATGAGGGTTCATTGTTTTATTCTCTCTAGTTGTATGTATGTTTGAAAACTTCCTTTTAAGAATAATTATTATAGGGCCGGCCCCGTGGCTTAGTGGTTAAGTGTTCGCGCTCAGATGCTGCTGGCTGGGGTTCGGATCCCGGGCGCGCACCGATGCACCGCTTCTCAGGCCATGCTGAGGCCGTGTCCCACATACAGCAGCTAGAAGGATGTGCAACTATGACATACAACTATCTACTGGGGCTTTGGGGGAAAAATAAATAAAAAAAATTTTTTTTAATGTTTAAAAATAAAAAAATAAAAATAAAAATAATTATTATAAATAGTGTGAGAGTATGAAGAGACAGTACCCTCAGATACTGTTGGAGGGTGTATACATTGGTGCCACTGCTTGGAACGGTAATTTGGAAGATTTTATTATGAGAACACTCCTAAACATGAACAGCTGAGTGGTCTTTTAACATCTAAAACAGTACAGCCAATGCTATCACCTTTGTCAGTGATATGATCAATGGGCAGACTCAAAAGATAAACCCCAAAATCTGGACGATGGATGATTGAGGTGAAAAGGCAAAAGAACACCAGACCCCAGGACATTAGAGTCACCTCTCCAACTCAAGCGTCCCTTGTGTGGTGGCTCCCAAACCTGAAACCACATCCAAATTACCCTAGGAAGCAAGTGAAAAATAAATTCCCGGGCTCCACCCCAGACCTACTGAATCTAGATATCTAGAAGTGAGACCAGGAAACTATTTTTCAGATGACTTAGGTGAGTGAGTTCCCATCAGGTGTGGGAACTCCTCATCGGATCCCCTTTTCTGCCCTTCTCCAGATGCAGGTGTGGGACACCGCTGGCCAGGAGCGCTTCCAGACCATCACCCAAAGCTACTACCGCAGTGCCCACGCAGCCATCATCGCCTACGACCTCACCCGGCGGTCCACGTTCGAGTCTGTTCCTCACTGGATTCACGAGATAGAAAAATATGGAGCAGCCAACTTGGTCATTATGCTGATTGGTATGGCGTTTTCAAAGCGTTTAACTTTTCTTTACTGGTCCCCTGGGCTGATGCTCAGCGTTTTGTGTGTTTCTGATGGCAGTGGAACCTGAAATCATAAAAGTGCAAGTGGTGGACGGGACCTCAGAAAGCATCTGGCCCAGAAACTCCCATCAGATTCACTTGAGAATGAGAGTTGGGTGGTGTGAACTTGTTAAGAATGCAGATTCCAAGGCCCCACCCTAGAGTTTCTCATTCCGGAGACCTGGATGGGGCCCGGATATCTAGATGAAGGCACACCCCAGCTGATTCGATGCACGCATCTGTGTAGACCACACAGGAAGTACTCTGTAGTCTGAGGTTCATAGAGTCAGAGGTACCCAAATCCCCAAGGGAGCCACTAGATGAATGTAACTGACTACACCCTCGAATGACTTCTTACACCTGGTAAGATCCTAAATGAATCTTAACAACAAACCACCATTAAAATTAACAGCAACTTCAACTACACAAAGTGAACTCACAGCTTAGAATGTGAGCAGTCCTGCTGCACATTCAGAAGTGTAGTGTTTCTGTCACTTCTCGAGAGTTTTAGTTTTGCCAGCAGAGTTGCCTTTCCTCCCACTCCGAACTACAGTAGGCTGCTTAATTTTGGCAAGTGATTTAGGCCTTTGCTACTTAAAGTGTGGCCTGTGGACCAGCAGCATCAGTGCCACTTTGGAGTTTGTTAAAAGTGAAGATCTCAGGCCCCATTCCAGACCTGCTGAATCAGAATCTCATTCTAACAGGATCGTAGAGAGATTCAAATGCAAATTAAAGTTTGCAGAGCACAGGTCTAGACGGCTAGCTATCAGACTGAGAAAGAGCTAAATATGCCATGTTTAATGGGTTATTTATCCATGGACAAGCATATCCTGGCCCTGTGGCAGGTTACCCTCTGAGCCTTAGTTTTCTCATCTATTAGAAGCAACTAATACTTTCCAGAGCTGTAAAGATTTAGTGAGATAATGTATATACATTGCTTAGGAGTGCCTGGCACATAGTTAAGTGATTAATAAGGGATAGGATTTGTCTCTAGAAGATTCATTTATTTGAAGGAACTAACTCATTTATGTTCCTTTAATAACGGGGGGCGGGGGGGGGCGGCGCGTGGTGAGGATACAAGTCCCTGGGATCTGGGAAAAGCCAGCAGTCAAGCCCCAGCCAGAGCAGGAACCAGACCAGAGCCCAGCCACCACTGACAAGCAAGAAGCTGGAGACCCTCTCAGGGCTGGGCTCTGTGAACCAGCCTCCTTGCCCTCCATTGTGCCTCTGTTTTCTCTACCTCAGGATACCGGGGCCTGCCACACTCTCTCACCCCTGAACCCTCCCTCACGGAGTCTCTCGAAGCATCCTCCCCCGCCTGCTCCCGTCACAATCTCCTCATTCTCTCAGTATCCACTAGCTCACGTTCCTTACAAAGGGAATTCTTCTTTTCATGGCAAAGCCTGGCCCAGGCTGCCGGGAAACCTAAGGTCGGGCAGGCCTGGGATAAGGTGCCCACCCTGGACCAAGCAGCTGGGCCCTGACGGAGGAGGCAGTCACAGGATGCAAAGCCTGGCTGCGGATGGGCAGTAGAAGAGGTCATTGTCACACCTAGCTCATGTATTATTACTATCGTGATTCCAGAAAGGACTTGTTATTTTAGAACCGTCTTTTTCCTAAGTCTTTTCTGTTTGATTCATAATCTAGCCCCTATCTCACGCGCAGACTTGAAGAGAATGCTGCTTGGGAACGCATTCTGCTTCTCCTAACTTAAGACTCAAAGTCATTCTGAGAGCCTGGACTGGGCTCGCCCCTTCCTGCCGCATCAGATCAAAAACCCCAGGTTCCACAGTCTGCTGCCAAAGTCAATGCCCTTCAAATTTAGTCCTCTTGTTTTCTCAGAGGGGCTGTGTCTTGTCCCATATGGCAGAAACCAGAAAAAAGAGACTAATGAGGCTGGGAGGGGGCTTCCACATGGAGAGCAACTCAGCTCTTTTGGGAGGAGTGAAATATCTCATTTCTCCTCTAACTTCCCACCCGAAGGTCCCCTTTGGGACCAGAAACTTTTGTGATTTGACTTTTGATATAAAGAACAGTTCCTCTAACGGCAGAGTTCAGAGCTATAAAAATAAATACTGACCCTGAAAAGAGCTATATTTCTTCTTCAACAACCACTTGTGTGAAGCACCAAGGAGGACGCTGGCCAAGGTTTCCAACACCCTTCGCGACAGTTGCTCCCTGACAAGCAGGGCCGCACCCTTGAGGCTGGGGGACGGCATAGTGCTAGGAAGATGCTGATGACAGGTGACATTTACTAAACACTTAGTAGGGTCCAGGCACTATTCTGAGTCCTCTCCTGGGTCACTTCATTTAATCCTCCCAGCAATCCTAAGAAGCAGAGACTACTATCCTCATTTTCCAGATAAGGAAACCGAGGCATCTGGAGGTTAAGTATCCTGCCAAGTAACTCGGCCTAGTTACCTACTGACAAGTGAGGTGGGATTTGAACCAGGCCAGTTGGTTCACAGAGCCCCTGTGGGTTCAGTTCCTTTCCAGCTACTTTTTAATAGCTGGTTAAGCCAGACAGCCGCCCAGAGCTCCCAGAAGCTCTGGTTTAGGCAGTGTCTACATCTACTCTAGTGCCTGGACAGTGGGGTCACACAGATTTGGGTTCAAATCTCCCTCTCTGGGGGCCAGCCCGGTGGCACAAGCAGTTAAGTGGGTGCGCTCCGCTGCGGCGGCCTGGGGTCCGCCGGTTCGGATCCCGGGCCCACACCGACGCACTGCTTGTCAGGCCATGCTGTGGCGGCATCCCATATAAAGTAGAGGAAGATGGGCATGGATGTTAGCCCAGGGCCAGTCTTCCTCAGGAAAAAAAGAGGAGGATTGGCCTTGGATGTTAGCTCAGGGCTGATCTTCCTCACACACACAAAAAAATCTCCCTCTCTGTCCTTCCTGTCTGAACTTGGGCTTGTGACTTACTCTCTAAATTTCTACGTCCTCATCTATAAAACTGGTACCTACTTCAAAGATACTGCTGAGTTCAAAGGATCAAATAAGGTAACACACATGAAGCACTTAGCACAGTGCTGAGGCCTCAGTAAAGGGAAGCTGTTGTTTTCTGGTAGAGCAGAGATGAGAGACTCCGCCTGAAGAGCTGAGCCTCCATGACCCCCAGGGGAGGCAGGAAACCCACCAATGGTGGTAGCTCCCAGAGAACAGATGCATCGGTGTGAATAACACGCATCTCACTGAGGGGAATGAAGCCGTTCTCATCATACTTGGGGTTTCCACAGGAAGGTGAACTGGATCTCTTTTCTCTTAAATTTACACGCTTCCCAGGAAACACTGAGGCAGGTCTTCCTCAGGGGCCTTGAAGCCTGCAATGCAAAGCTGCCCTGCCTCTGGGGTTCCCTCCCCTCAGAGCTATCTTTGGAAGACAACACCCTTTCTCCGCCCAGGCCTCCTCCTGGCTCTGTTTTCCAGCCAGCACCGTCCTTAACTACTAATTAGTCTGCTGCAGAAACAGATGGGGCAGAGGAGAGCAAGAAACGCCAAGTTGTTACAAGATTTCCAGGCATCTCACACAGTTTCTGTGGTCTTTACTCCCTAGTCTGTCTTTCGTAACAACCATCTCTGCCTCACTTCTTAATTCGTTCTAAAAATGACCCCAAAGATGATCTGGACATGTCCCCAGTGTCCCAGTTTATGATGTGTCCAATCCCAAGGACTGACACAATGGGTCTTCCTGTTTTCTCACAGTGGCCTCCTCGCCTTAATCTAGAAAATTCAAATGTATTGTTCCCTCTCGGAAGTGTCCCCGCCCCTTTCACTATATTTTCCATTCTGTCTCCACATTTCTTCACAGAAGTGTCTCTTGCTCTCTCACGAGTTTACCCGGACCCAAGCCGCCACTTCACCACCACACAAATGTCAAAGAAATGATTGTGCATTGATTTGTACTCTTCCTCCGGCCGTTCACAGGAAGCCCAGCTCCTCATAATGTCCCTCTGTTTAAAATCCTTGGTGGTCCCCCATGGCCCTCGAGATAGTGCACGAATTCCTGAGTTTGATTGATAAGGCGCCCTGCTGTCTTCCTGGAGGTGACTGGCTGATCTTTTCCTCACCCCCTCTGCTCTGTTCCTGACCTCATAGCTCTTCATACCCTCCACCAGAGTAAGGGTTTAGGAGCCACCTTCCTTTTGCACGTTATACTGGACTTTCTGTGTCATAACTTTCTTCAGTGTCTGATATTTGTCCCCTTAGGACCTCAGGCAAACCTTCCACTTAAACTCGTCGTATTTACAGGTCCCCAGTCTCTCAGCAAAAACTCTTAGGGCCAAAGATTTCAGAGTTCAGAATTTGTCAGATCTTAGGAGGGCGCATTCTAAGTTACATAATACCCTCAGCAGGATCTGGGCCAACACCCCATGGTCAAATGCATTAATATTTATACACTGAAATGTATGAATAGTCATACAAAGCAGGTTGAATAAAAACTTCAAATGGCCAGTTTAGAGCACATTTTACCATCAGATGAATTACCAAAAAACTTAGGGGTTCAGAGGTTTTTGGATTTCAGAAATGTGGATGAGGGATTGTAAACCTGTACCACTCACGACTTGTACCATTCACCTGGTCGTTAGCATATATTATTTCGCGGCCTGTCTTGGATCGGCAAAGTCTCAGATAGCTGTTTAATTGTCCATGTGTCTCTCTTACCTCCCTAACAAAATGAAGAACCCCTTCCTTCGGGGTAGAGCCCATATATCTCTGGGTGTCCAACACAGAACACTTAGCACGTGAGGACTCAGATTGCGGGCATCAAGCACACAGTTTCTTTCCTCCCACCGGGTGTCCTGGCTCATCCTGAGGTGCAGCCAGCAGTCGCTGGGAGGCAGGACAGTGGACAGTCAGTGCTGTTAACCTGGTGTGGCGATGGGGCAGGTGGGAGGAGCAGGTCATATAAGTCAGAACCAGTACGACCCGGCCCAGAATCCACAGATCAAAGTGAGGGATGCGAGGGGCAGACCAGACTCCTGGCTCAGGGATTCCTACTCCCACAACACCCCTTCCTCCACCAAGGGGCTCCCACACCTTTCTTCTAGAAGCAGAGCTGTGCCCTCAGCTGGAACCACACTAGCTATAAAAACGCATCTAGTTTTCTTGAAGGTATCTGAATTAGTTTTCTGTGGCTGCTATAACAAATTACCACAAACTGGGTGGCTTAAAACAACAGAAATGTGTTCTCTCAGTTCTGGAGTCCAGGAATCTGAACTAGTATCACTGAGCTGAAATCAAGGTGTCAGCAGGGCCATGCCCCTCTGGAGGCTCCTAGGGAGAATTTGTTCACTGCCTCATCCAGCTTCTGGTGGCTGCCAGCATTCTTTGGCTTGTGGCTACATCACTCCGGTGTCTGCTTCTGTCTCCACATCACCTCCTCTGTGTGTGTGAAGTCTCCCTCTACCCTGCTCTTATAAGGATACAGGTGATTTCATTAGGGCCCACCTAGCTTATCCAGGATTATCTCCCTGTCTCAAGATTCTTAATCACATCTACAAAAACCCTTTTTCCAAACAAGGTAAGATTTACAGTTTTCCGGGATTAGAACCTGGTATCCTGGGGGTCATTTTTCAGCCTACCACAGTACCAGAAGGTGGTAATGTCCACTGAAAAGATTCTTGGAAAATCTTATTTGGGGATAATTATGATCTAAGTCTAGCTTTGTCAATGAGCAGGTTGGTGACTGTGACGCTGGGAAAGTATTTTTTCAATCTTTTTTATTGGGACATATAAAGAAAAGTACACAGGCATTGATTTATCACAAAGGAGACCCTTGTGTAAATACCACCTGGGTTAAGAAAGAGAATACTGCCAGCACCCTCTTCCCAAGCTCCCCTTCATGCCCCTTTCAATCCCTGCCACCACCACCCCCTACCCTGCCCTGCCAAAGGTAAGCATGTCATGACTTTTATGGTCATCACTCTCTTACTTTTCTTTATCATTTTACCACCTAACCCCACATCCCTAAGTGCTAGTTTTATTTTGCTACTGTTTTTGAACTTTATATAAATGGAATTATACAGAATGTTTTTTTTGTCTAAGCTTCTTTCCTTCAACGTTAAGTTTATGAGTTTCATCCACATTGGTGCATGTAGCTGTAATTTATTCTTTTGCATAATTTGTATAATATTCCTTTGCGTGAATACACTACAAAGTATTTCTCCTTTCTGTTGGTGATGGACACTGGAGTTGTTTTCAGTTTGGAGCAAGTAGGGAAATTGCTGCTCTGAACATTCTTGTATATGTTGATTGATATACATGTGCACACATTTCTCGTGGGTATATACCTGGGAGCAGAATCGCATGGTCTTGCAACTCTAGCAGACAGATAATTTCAAACCACTTGTCAAGGTGGTGGTTGGACTCTGTACTCCCACCAGCAGGGTATAGGAGTTCTAGTTCTGCATCCTCCCCAGCACTGGCAGTTATCAGTCCTTTTAGTTTCATGCATCCTGATAAGTGTGTCATGGTATCGCTGGTGGTTTGAATGTGCGTTTCCCTGTTCCTTAATCAGGTTGGCCACCTTTGCATGTGTTTGTTAGCTCTTCGGATATTGTCTTTTGTGAGGAGCTTTTCAAGTCTTACGCCCATTTTTCTATTTGCTGTTTGTCTTTTTTTATTGATTCCTAGAAGTGGCTTATGTTTTCTGGAAATAAGTCTATGTCAGTTTGGGTCCTCCAGGAAGATGTCAGGACAAGATTAGATAGACCTGCAAGAGATTTATTGGGAGAAGTGGCTGTGAGGGATGACGAGGAGGGAGCAGAAGGAGGTAGGGAGACTTTTGTATGAGACGCAGACCTGCCGCTGGGAAGGAGAGAAGGGAGGAAGGAGGATCAGGTAGGAAGAGTTGGAAAGCTTCATTCAGCCCTGACTGAGCCAAAGTCGCCTGACAGAGGAATGGAATCCCGCCCCCTGCGGGCTTGGGCCACATGAGCGTCCCCACCATGGCGGGAGCAGCGGGGCAAGCGTGGCCTCTGGACTAGCATGGTGGTGGGTTGAGGGGATAGCAGCTGGGCTGCTGGCACCTGTGCTGCCTGTGGCAGGTCCTCTCGAAGGAGGCCAGAGCCCTCTGTTAGTTATATGTGTTACAAATGCACCTTCCATCATGTGGGTTACCTTTTCACTCTGCTGAGGGAGTATTTTGATGAATAGACATTCTTAATTTTAATATATTTCAATCCATCAGTCTTTTCCTTAATAATTATTCCTTCCTGTGTCCTATTTAGGAAAATTTCCTCCAATCGAAGTCATCAAGATAATCTTATATTATCTTTTGAAGCTTTATTTATTTGTTTGTTTATTATGCCTTTTATATTTAGATCTGCAGTCTACCCAGAATTTATTTTGGTGAATGATGAGAGGTGTGGGCCAAAAATGTGTAATTTTTCATATAAAGATCCAGTTGCCCCAGTACTGTTTCTAAAAAGGCAACATTTTGCACCGCTCTCTAGTGCCATCTTTGTGTAAGGGGTACATATATTCATGAGTTTGTTTCTGAGTTTTTTATTCCGCTCTGTTGATCTATTTCGTGCATTCTCTTGGGGGTCAAAGTATCTCGGATAGTACAACGGTTTGTGGCCCTCCAAAGGGCCAGATATACAGTATATCTGTGGTATTTACAATTTCATAGGATCAACACACAAATGTTCATTGCAGCTCTATTCATAACAGCCAAAAGCTAGAATCAGCTCAGTTTCCTTCAAATGGGTGGATAGTTAAACAAACTGTGGTATATCCATACTGTGAAACACTACTCAGCAATGAAAAGGGATGAACTACTGACACATGCAACGCCCTGGATGGATCTCAAGGGAATTATGCTGAGCGAAAAAAGCCAATCTTAAAGGGTTACTTACTGTGTGATTCCATTTATATAGCATTCTTGAAATAGCAAAATTATACAGATGGAGAACAGATTAGTGGTTCCAGGGGCTGGGGATTAGAAGTGGTGGGAGGTTATAAAGGGGTAGCACGGGGGAGTGCCGTGTGGTGGTGGCACTGTTCTGCATCGTGACTGCAGTGTGGTTACAGGAACGTACACATGATAAAATTGCATATAATTACACACACACACACACACACAGAGGAGTGCATGGATAACTGGTGAGTTCTGAATAAGCTCTGCGGGCTCTACAATGTCCTGGTTTGGATATGATATTGTACTATAGTTATGCAGGAGGTTACCAGCAGGGGAAACTGGGTGAGGGGTACACTGGACCCCCTAGATACATACATATCTATCATCTATCCATCTATCCATCTATCTGTCTACCATCTATCTATCTATCTATCTATCTATCTAACTATATTTGCAACTTCCTATGAATCTACAATTGTTCCAAAATAAAAAGTGTTCAAGTTTTTCATGGGAGGAGGGGTAATTAGGAAAAAACAGTTCTAAAAAGGCTCCTTCTGGGGACAATAATGAAAAACAGGTCAAGAAACACTGGTCTAGCCCATCTTAATTACTGTAGCTTTGTAATCAGTCTTGATGTCTAGCAGACCAAGTCCTGTGGGAAAGCTATTTTACCTTTAGATTCCTGCCTCAGAGACACCAAAGTCCAGTGACTGGATGAACGTGGGGATTGAAGTGGAGAAGAGGGGGGCTGCTTTTCCTCCTGCAGTCAACCCTGGGCTATGCTTGCAAAACCGCTCACGGAACTTTCTGGGGTCATTGAAAATGTTCTATATCTTGAGGGGGACGCTGGTTACAGGGCAAATACATTTGTCAAAACTCATTGAACTGTATGCTTAGAGTCTGTGCATTTTATTGTATGTAAATTATAGCTTTAAAAAAAAAAGTCCATCATTACTCATTCCACAGCTTCAATCCAAGAAATCCTGACCACAGCCTCCGCAGCTAGACCAGGCCCCATCTCACAGTGTCCAACATTTCGTAGTTTGGGGGAAAAGAGTGAAAAGAGGAGCAAGAGTTGAAGGAAGAAGAGAGAAGACAGAGAGAGTCACTCTGGCACAGTCTTCACCTTGTCAGACTTAGAAGGAATGACGGTCCCTCCCAGCAATACAGAGGCTCCACCTGTCCCAGCCAATAAGCACACACCTTTGGCCCGTTCTTGCAGCTCTTAAAGATCTCACAGAAGAGTGAATTAAGATAGTGGCTGTTTCCATACATCAGTGGTTTCATTTTCAGTACATTTGCCCTCAATTACTGATTGTGAATGAATGCATGCATGCATATTGCTGAGTGAAAGTGTTCTTCTTAAAAACAGATTAAGTTACTCAGTGGAATACTTGCTTCTCTCTCACTCCCAGGGAACAAATGTGACATGTGGGAAAACCGGCATGTTCTGTTTGAGGATGCCTGCACGCTGGCTGAGAAATACGGACTCCTTGCTGTTTTGGAGACGTCTGCCAAGGAGTCCAAGAACATAGATGAAGTCTTCGTGCTGATGGCCAGGGAGCTGATAGCCCGCAACAGCCTGCAGTTGTATGGGGACAGCGCCCTGAACAGCCTCCCCCTGGATTCCAGTCCAGTTCTTATGGCCCAGGGTCCGAGTGAAAAGACCCACTGCACTTGTTGAATATGTTCACGAGGCCATTCGCACCCACAGAAGGCATCTCTGAAACCAAAGGTAGTCGGATATCCTAGTGTCTGCTGAGCAGCACCTCACACCCAAGTGTAGACTTGCCACTAGTCCTTAATCCTTCCCGCCTGGATGGGTGGCACTTCTGCCTCAATTCACACCAGAGGCCATAACTGCTGACTCTGAGGACAGGGGACACCACTGTCTTTCTTGATGTTGCCTAGAGAAACCAGGACTTAAGGTATGGAGGTAGGAGGGCAAGCTTTGCTCTTTTCCATCTTTCCCTGTTCTCCCCAACCCTTCCACTGTTTTCTACTGAATTTTGCTTCTCTCTTGAAGAAGAGAGTAGTGAAGGAAAGAAGAAAAGAGAACCATCAAGAGAGGGGAGAGAAGGGCCGACCCTGTGGCTTAGCGGTTAAGTACGCGCACTCTGCTGCTGGCGGCCCCGGTTCAGATCCCGGGGGAGCACTGACGCACCGCATCTCCGGCCATGCTGAGGCTGCGTCCCACATACAGCAACTAGAAGAATGTGCAGCTATGACATACAACTATCTACTGGGGTTTTGGGGGGCAAAATAAATAAATAAAATCTTTAAAAAAAAAAAAAAAAAGAGAGGGGAGAGGATATTTGGAACATTCTGTAGCAATTTAAAACAGCTCAGGCCTGGAGGACGGGATAAAAGCCTGCAGTGATAAACTGGAATGCTGTTACCTTTTGTATCCTAACTTTCACACCGCATGTCTTTAGTTTGGGAAGCAAAGCCTTTTGACATAAAGACCGTAAATACTGTCTTGCCCAACGGTCAGGAGCCATGCAATGGAGATAGAATTGGTTTTCACTTTATCCTAGCTGGGCTGATTTCACCTCCTCCTAGGATGTGGGAGACGCCTACAATGTCTTTCTAAAACACCAAATTATCTGCTGGGTTGGAAGTCACTTCTGAATTGAAATTAAATCAGCTCATAGATGAATATCAAACCAATATTGACCTCGCTGTGCAGCTCTGGGTGTACTGTGTACCCTCCAGAACTTGTGAGTAATAAGCCTTGTTTTTTCAAAGTTCCCTGACGGTTGTTGTTGAGGTACATCTTGCAATCGTAAGAAACACAAGGGCGGGTCCTGCCACAACATTGGTTCCTCCGAAAGGGAAAATGTCTGTGGGGGCTCACCCCAGGCCCAGGTGAGTGCCCCCAGGCATTTCTAGCCACAGCATCGCTGTCAATAGGTTGAGATCAACACAGAAGAAATAGCCACTAGCCACGTGTGGCTATTGAGTACTTGAAATGTGGCTAATTCGAATTTGAGATGAGCTTCAAGCGTAAAATACACAGCAGATTTTGAAGACTTGGTACTAAAAAAGAATGTAAATTATCTTACTAATAATTTTTTTGTTGATTATATGTTGAAATGATATTTTATATATACTAGGTTAAATAAAATACATTATTAACATTTCACCAGTTTCTTTTTACTTTTTTCATGTGGCTACTAGAAAATTTAATATTACGTATGTGGCTCACACCATAATCTATTGGACAGTACAGTAGAGCAGTGCTTCTCAAAGTGTAGTTCTCATATGTATGAGAGTGGCCTGGGGATGCTTGTTTCCAATTCCTAGGACCCCTGACTGTCTGTCTGAATCAGAATCTTTCCAGAAATCCACATTTCATCCAAGCTGGCCAAGTGATTCTCCCCCACACTGAAACTTGAGAACTACCACTATACAGAGGTCAGGTGAGAATGGGAGTACATTTTAATTCACTTCAATATATATTTGTTGTTGAAATGAACAACCTACCTTCAGGAAACATGAGGGAAATCTAGCGATATACCAGAGGAATAAATGCATCGAAGCAGATTACCCTTTTTCACATGTATACTATTGTTCTGAAGAAGGGTTTATGTGAAGCAGGATCTCACAAGCCGGATCAGGAATATACTTGTACAAGCCCCTGAGCAATATTCAGATGAGGCCATAGCAGACAGCCGTTAAGAAGGGTGAGGAAAACGGCGTAGTCAGAGGAGAGAGTGAGCAAAGAAGAAAGAGGCTGAGCGGGACGTGCGATTCACTGCGCACGCCAGTTTGCCTTCATTCATTTCTCTGCACATCAGTCTCAACCAATACTCTGAAAATCTCATCATCTTCCAGGATTATGCACTCTGGGGATAATCTTAATTAAAATATTCCTATCAACAGTTTCCATGTGTGAGAACAAGGTCACCTGAACACCAGCAACCTGTAATTAACCACCTGGGCTGCTGTTGAAATGATAATGCCACGACAGAAACCCTCAAGCACACGTGGAAGGGCCTCAGTGGAGCTTCCCCGATGAGGGCACAAAGGTCTGCTCTAAAAGGAGGCACAGGCTTTCCTGAAGCTCACCGTGTCTGTAACTGGCACTGCAAAGCTGGCTCAGGAGGCTCTGCTGTATAGCGATGGTCCCGGAAGCCTATGTGTCAACTGAATTCTGGCATTATTGTCACATCCCCCAAACTGTATAGTTGGTAACAAGTGAGTTATATGAAATTAAGTTCCAAAAGAGACATTTCGGAAGAATGAAAAAGATTATAGACATCTCGATATTTTGTCTAGCAATGTCAAGTACATTTCTATGTGTGATAAAATCTTTCAATTAATATTTCATTGTTCATAGATTGTTCCCATATCTCTTCCCCACTATTACTGAAAAGGTATATTGGTAGTAATAGTAATATTACTACAATGATAATAATAACAGCAAACACATATAGCAATTCCTATATGCCCAGCCCTTGACCAAGCATTTTATTCATCCTAACTCAATGAATCCTCTCAACTATCTTTCGAAGTAGGTACTATTTGTAATCTGTTTTTAAAATGAGGATATGAAACCCAAGAGATTAAGGTCACACAGCTAGCAAGTGGCAGAGCCAGGATTCAAACCCAAACAATCTGGTTCCAGAGCCCACTCTTAACAATTATGCTACACTCCCCCTCAGATAATGAGCAGTATCAGATGTGGGGTCCATCGTATTAACCTCTCATCACCCTCCACACACACATATACACAGCAAGAGACATACTCTCATACATCCATTTCAATATCCTCCAGGTAAAGTTGTGCAGCTCTCTGTAAAAGAAGCTGAAGTGGGGAGAAGGTCGGGGAGGGGCAGGGGTGGAGAAAGGGTGGATTGGGTGGATCGGGCTAGTCCTAGCTGACTGCAGGGGAATTACGGAGGAGCTGTGCCTGAAGTATGCCCAGCCCAGCCTGAGTACACTTCCTTCTGATCAGGGCGATGTGGAAACTCCAGTTCCCTCATAGGCGAGAGTATGTGGGTGATCCAGGCTGAGTTCCAGCAGCCTGATGCTGAGCCATCCCAGCCCGAGGGCCAGGAGAGGATGGGGAGGAACCCAGCCAGCAAGCGCGTATCAGTGCTCTGCGTGCTCCCCGCAGGTGGTTTGCAAACCTCCAGGGGACTGAGAAGAGGTGCTGGGGATTCATATCATCAAAGGCAATAATAGTGCCTGCTTCAAGTTTTCATCTTCAAAAATATCCATATGGGATCTGGTCATGAGCCTGTGCTCAGTTATCACATGAACATGTGCAAGTGCTCAGCTGATGCTCTGAGTTGGTTTACCATTCAGCAGAATACTGCTAGCCATTAAGGTGGTTTTATTTATTTTATTTTAATTTTATTTATTTATTTTTTTACCCCAAAGCCCCAGTAGATAGTTGTATGTCATAGCTGCACATCCTTCTAGTTGCTGTATGTGGGACGCGGTCTCAGCATGGCCGGAGAAGCGGTGCGTTGGTGCGCGCCCGGGATCCGAACCCGGGCCGCCAGCAGTGGAGCGCGCGCACTTA